CCCATTTCAGTTACTTCCTCATAATAACCCGGTGTAGATCCGGATTGGAAGAAATTAGCTATCCATGCATGTCACAAGGTTTGATTATTTCCAGACGGCCGTTATACAGCTGGAACATTGCTGGACGTTAAACAACAGACAAAAATAAATAAAATGACAATGCTGCAATGTGTGATCCGAGAATATCATCCAAATAACAGCGTCTTAAAAAATAACAGTGAGTTCCGATTTGCAAGAGGGCCGCCATTGCCGCCATATTAACAATGTCACTTCTGCCGTTTACATCCATGTCTTGACAACACGAGGTATAAGGACGTTGTGGTCGATGGTGACGAAGCTCACAGACATGCTGTTGTTACGAGTTGAACGCGAAGGTTAACCAAGAAATCGGCTCGTACAAAACGTAACTGTGAAATCAGTATATCACCACACAAGTGCAATGAATAATAAACAAATGCTATTGAAACACTGGATTAAATTAACAATCATAAGAGGCAGTACAATGGGTCAATGGGTCAAATACGTGGCAGCACCAAGCAATGTCATGAGTCAGTGCACGAATGTCCAGCATTTGTCACTGTCGAATGTCACAAGTGTGAAACGTACTCCGTTTCTTTAGCTAGGTGGCAAGTAGTCAGTGTTTTCAGATAGGTATCCCGTCCGCACTCCTTCGTCACCACTCGCATGTTTCCGTAACCTACAACAAGGCTACACTCGGCTTCATTCGTCACTACTCGCCCCTTTCCGTAACCCGCTATTCGGCTTGTCCCGGAATGGGGCGCGTTGGTCACGAATGCATCCGCATTGTGCAAGTAGCTAAGTCGCGAGTCAGATCAGATCAGAGCGCCCTCAGCTTCTTGAACTGTCACCTTCGAAACTTCTTGAATGATGTAGTCTTTCCCATGTGTCTGTAGCGGCCATAAAATTTCCGAGTCCCGTGATGGGATTCGAACCACGGACCTTCTGATCCGAGGTAGGACGCCTTGTCCACATGACCAAAGAGGTTAACCCCGTCAGCAAGCTGACAAGGTAAGGATGTCATCTGTGGGACGACTCCATGCCCTGCTACACGTCCATTGCTTTCTCTGGTTCTCCGTATCACATCATGTGTCACAGTACGTGCGACCATCTGGAGGAACATACGGTGTTCTTGTTCCTGGATGTATCGATGGTATCACATCATATGTCACAGTACGTGTGACCGTCTGGAGGAACATACGGTGTTCTTGTTCCTGGATGTATCGATGGTATCACATCATATGTCACAGTACGTGTGACCGTCTGGAGGAACATACGGTGTTCTTGTTCCTGGTTGTATCGATGGTATCACATCATATGTCACAGTACGTGCGACCATCTGGAGGAACATACGGTGTTCCTGGTTGTATCGATGGTATCACATCATATATCACAGTACGTGCGACCATCTGCAGGAACATACGGTGTTCCTGTTCCTGGTTGTATCGATGGTATCACATCATATGTCACAGTACGTGCGACCGTCTGGAGGAACATACGGTGTTCCTGGTTGTATCGATGGTATCACATCATATGTCACAGTACGTGCGACCATCTGGAGGAACATACGGTGTTCCTGTTCCTGGTTGTATCGATGGTATCACATCATATGTCACAGTACGTGCGACCGTCTGGAGGAACATACGGTGTTCCTGGTTGTATCGATGGTATCACATCATATGTCACAGTACGTGCGACCATCTGGAGGAACATACGGTGTTCCTGTTCCTGGTTGTATCGATGGTATCACATCATATGTCACAGTACGTGCGACCGTCTGGAGGAACATACGGTGTTCCTGGTTGTATCGATGGTATCACATCATATGTCACAGTACGTGCGACCATCTGGAGGAACATACGGTGTTCCTGTTCCTGGTTGTATCGATGGTATCACATCATATGTCACAGTACGTGCGACCATCTGGAGGAACATACGGTGTTCCTGGTTGTATCGATGGTATCACATCATATGTCACAGTACGTGCGACCATCTGGAGGAACATACGGTGTTCCTGTTCCAGGTTGTATCGATGGTATCACATCATATGTCACAGTACGTGCGACCATCTGGAGGAACATACGGTGTTCCTGTTCCTGGTTGTATCGATGGTATCACATCATATGTCACAGTACGTGCGACCATCTGGAGGAACATACGGTGTTCCTGTTCCTGGTTGTATCGATGGTATCACATCATATGTCACAGTACGTGCGACCGTCTGGAGGAACATACGGTGTTCCTGGTTGTATCGATGGTATCACATCATATGTCACAGTACGTGCGACCATCTGGAGGAACATACGGTGTTCCTGTTCCTGGTTGTATCGATGGTATCACATCATATGTCACAGTACGTGCGACCATCTGGAGGAACATACGGTGTTCCCGGATGTATCGATGGTATCACATCATGTGTCACAGTAATTACGACCATCTGGAGGAACATACGGTGTTCCTGTTAAGTATTGAATAATAAATAAACAAACAAAACACGGATGTAATCTTCAAAAAGATTTCTTCTACTTTTTGATTGACAATAGGTACGTGACACATAACCTTTCCTCAAGAGGGGGTAGCCTAGTGGTTAAAGCGTTCGCTCGTCACGCCGAAGACCCGTGTTCGATTCCCCACATGGGTACAATGTGTGAAACCCGCCGTGATATCGCTGGAATATTGCTAAAAGCGGCCTAAAAGGGGCGGTCGGGTAGCCTAGTGGTTAAAGCGTTCGCTCGTCACGCCGAAGACCCGGGTTCGATTCCCGACATGGGTACAATGTGTGAAGCCCATTTCTGGTGTCTCCCGCCGTGATATTGCTGGAATATTGCTAAAAGCGGCCTTAAACCATACTCACTCACTCACTCACTCAAGAGGATTGGTAGCAGCATCAACCTTGAAATAAACTGTCGGGCAAAAGAAAGTAGACAATTGTAAACAGTCACGGTATTGCGATCCACATGTTCCTTGAGACGTCATGTGCACGTGACCAGTTGTGATATACTCATTGATATGATGCATGTGATATCCAAAATGACACCTAAATAGCCATTCCTTGTTTGTTCCATTTTCAGCCACCATCAAACATGGCTGTCAATACAAAGTACTTTCTTTTCCCAGCAGTTCGTAATGGAGACACGGCTGACTCAGTGGTCTGCTGCGACGGCTTAGAGTTGCATCCCTTGGCCGTGCCAGGATGCGCAGATGTATCGTATCATAGATTGGCCCTGATAATGAGCATTGTATTTCACAACATCAAAACCATGCTCGCGTTCGACATAAAAGTGGTCTACGACCGTTCCTTCAGACTTGCTCCCACGACAAGCTAATACCACGTGCTGTAACGGAAATACTGTTCAAGATAGCTCACTCACTCACTCACTGTGTTAAATCCATGCTAGGCGCCTCCGGTCTTGGTGAGTTCGCATTATTGCTTATGACATCAAATTGCGATATCCAATAGTCATAGAAGCAGTCCTATAATCACGCCTTTATTGTTTGCTGTTGAGCGCAGCGCTAGATGACGTATAGCATTTGACGACCCCTTGCTTGTACGTACGTAGCGGATTGATGAAGCGTGGTTATTGTGTTAGCATCTTGTGATGTTATGATGAATATCAAACTTAGGAAAAACTAATTAAGGCATTTGTTTTTTTCAAAACACCTATTGAATCATTACCAAAACAAGCGGATCTAAAAATAATACCACGTATGGTGTACTCATCACAGGCTGCTTGTTTGTTGTTGTTTTATGCCGCACTCAGCAATATTCCAGATATATGACCAGACAATCCAGTGATTGCCATCATGAGCATTGATCCACGCAATTTTGACACGATGACATGCATCAACGAAGTCAGCGAGCCTGACCACCCGATCCCGGTAGTCGCCTCTTACGACAAGCATAGTTGCCTTTTACGGCAAGCATGAGTTGCTGAAGACCTATTCTAGCCCGGATCGTCACGGGTCGTATTCATCACAGGCAGTGTGTTAGTCAACATTTTACTAAACTTTTCACAAGGATAATCAGCTATGTACGTCGTTCTATTTGAATATACACTTGACATTTTATGAGAAGCGTTACGTGTGTATCTCGGAAAAATACAAATATCCCTATCAAAAGTGCAGGAGTATAAACATGTGTGTGATGATGTATGTGTGCTATATGCTAGACAAATACTGTAAATCACACAGTTAGGGAACACACAGACACGTGTGTAACAGACCACTGTTTGTGACCATGATTTATGGGCGGCAGAGAAATTATGTAGCGCACACTGCTAATGCGTAAATAATATTCGTCTGATGTTTTCTATTTGGTTTCAAAGAATAAAGTGGTGTGGGGTGGGGGGTCAGAGAGAGTCAGGCTGGTCACCAACAAATATGACAGTCTCTAGGGGAGGGTTATAAAAATGTAATACACATATTTGTGGCGGGTCATCATAAAATTGACATTTTATAATAAAATATATAGTGATCTTGCATTTTGTCCTTTCGGCGAGAATCATGAAAAAACGTACAAGAATATGAAGAGGACACCCCCCCCAAAAAATAACAACAAAAAAAAACCACCAAAAAAACACACCAAACAAACAAAAACAACACCAAACAAACAAAACAAACAAAACAACGACAAACAAACCCAAAACAAAACAAAAGCAAAACAAACAAAAAACAACACAAAAACAACACAAAAACACCAAAAATACAGAAATAAAAAAACCACACAACAACAAATAACAAAACAAAAAAAGAAACAAAAACAAACAATTATTTAAAAAAAAAAAAAATGTCGAAGCCGCCCTAATTTTGAAGCGTACTCGCACCAAGGCGCTCGGTACCAACAAAATCAAACTACTCTGGACAGATAGTCCCTAATAATACTCCTCATATTTTGTAGGCTTTCCCCAAGTATGCCCTATTTTTATCCTCACAGTCAGTGTTAGTGACTGTGCTAAGGTCCAAGGGACGTAACTCTAATTGCACTGAGTCATTAGTGGTGCAATAACTTCACTTAGTTTGCCTGTCAATGTTGTAGGTAGATTGTTATTGACCATATATGGGAGGCGACACGGGCGATAACTGCAATAACAACCAGGTATGTTCTATATTTAGCAATGATCGCTACAATGATAAATATGCCCGGGGAATTCGCAGGGCAGCGACAGAGAGAAGACTGTTTGAGGAAGTGAAACGAGTGGAAACTTTCAGGAACCACGTCTTGCAGAGAAGCAGGATCAGGCGGCTGTCAGCCGAGGCAGAGACTTAAAAATAGCTCACTAACGAGGCTCCAGGTAGGTCAGCGTTTCGAACAGATTCTAGTTTGTTTCAACTTTCATTAAAACAGATATCCTAAAATACAGTTAACCCTTATCACTGCTTATGTCCCAACGACTTTCATTTGAAAGCCAATGTACAGATGGGTAGTGTTATAGAGGTGTCATGTAGATCTACCGTTCAATACGATGTAATATTGGGTGAAAGGATTGATCTTCACTGAAAAATTTGAATGACATTAATAATTTTCCTGTGTCTTTTACCATTCAATACGAATGACCACAGGGCTATGTCACTGAGATACTATACCTTGGCCTAGAATGCGATCTCGTTGGTATAGAATATTTGTTACATCACAGGAACATGTAGCTAATAATACTAACAAACTCACAGTCGAGGCAGAAGTCTGTGAGTTTGATATTACCGTATTCGACGTAATAAGCGCCCCTCTCTAATAAGCGCCCACGGCGATATTTGCTAATATATTGGCTAGTGAACAATCCCAATTAGCACCCCTTCCTATTGATCAATGTACACAAGACTTATTTTTTCGCGTATAATACACACTCGTGTGTTATATGCACCCTTAATTATGGGCAATTAAATTCTGGAAAAATATACCTCTCGTATATAAACATTTCAGGCTGTCAGCATAAACCACGAAATTTACCTTTCAACTCTTTTTTTTCACCAAAATAATATTCGAATAAGAGCCCACTATTTCTAATTTTGAGAGCGCCCTTGGCGCTTATTACGTCGAATACATTATTCTTAGTTACATATGATCCTGTGGTTACGTATGTTCCTGGCTAAGGATTACGCTTATTTGGACCACCTGTAATTCATCATTATATTGTTACATAAGCATTATAATGTCTACATTACACCATAACAAAGTGACCGCCTCCGTGGTCTAGTGGTAGAGCCTCAGCCTGGAGAGCCGCATCATACCAAAAGATGTTAAAAGATGGTACTTGTTGTACTGTTGACGGGTTGGCTCAGAGTCAGTAGACAGTGTCTGAGTGGGGTATTCATGGTATCTCAGTGGGTTAGCACTATAAATCGGCATCAGTCCGGACTAGTACAAGCAGCCACACACACACACACACACATGTGCATGCATGTCACTATGTAAGTGCAATAATCTTGGACGCGACATTAAACCCCATTTCACCATAATGACAAAGCAACATATAGTGAGGCGAGTGTGTGTGTGTAGTGTTTTTTTTTTGTGACCCAGCATTTAGTGGAGATACCATAGTCTATTGAACATGTTGAAGCCCTGAACACGTTGAAGTCTTGAACATGTTGGATCCTTGAACATGTTGAAGTCTTGAACATGTTGAAGTCTTGAACATGTTGAAGTCTTGAACATGTTGAAGTCTTGAACACGTTGAAGTCTTGAACATGTTGAAGTCTTGAACACGTTGAAGTCTTGACCATGTTGAAGTCTTGAACACGTTGAAGTCTTGAACACGTTGAAGTCTTGAACATGTTGAAGTCTTGAACATGTTGAAGTCCAATCTCATTAAAATCAGATCATAGTTTTTGCTACCGCTAAACAAAGATCTGAGGACATCCCATTACGGCTCACGTCAGAACGACCTTTCGCGAATTTTGACCGACGAATGAAATGACTGACAAGAAATCGACATTAGCCAAACAGAAGGCAGCTTTCTCCAGCTTTACGACACTAGTTTCAAACTGGCGACTACGCTTCGAAACATATTTTGACATATTCTCGATTAAAAAAATTAAAACTGATATATAGAACATTCTAGAATGGCTTATAGATGGCCTAGATTGTATGGATATAATCCTAAAACCTGTTACTGTCGTTCGGAATACCCCGTGTTAAATATTTCGTGGTTGCATGATTAGAAAACACATTCCGACTGTCACTTTCATGATCTGGTAAGCGACGCTCTGATTGGTTGGATGAAAGGTCTTTCTGACGTGACCCGTAATGGGATGTCCTCAGATCTTTGTTTAGCGGTAGCGAGAACTAAGATCTGATTTTAATGAGATTGTGTTGAAGTCTTGAACATGTTAAAGTCTTGAACACATTGAAGTCTTGAACATGTTGGATCCTTGAACATGTTGAAGTCTTGAACACGTTGAAGCCTTGAACACGTTGAAGCCTTGGACATGTTGAAGTCTTGAACACGTTGAAGCATTGGACATGTTGAAGCCAAGCCTTGGACATTTTGAAGCCAAACCTTGGACATGTTGAAGCCTTGAACATTTCCAAGTCTTGAACACGTTGAAGGCTTGAACATGTTGAAGTCTTGAACATGTTGAAGCCTTGGACATGTTGAAGTCTTGAACACGTTGAAGGCTTGAACATGTTGAAGTCTTGAACATGTTGAAGCCTTGGACATGTTGAAGTCTTGAACACGTTGAAGCCTTGAACATGTTGAAGTCTTGAACATGTTGAAGCCTTGGACATGTTGAAGTCTTGAACACGTTGAAGCCTTGAACATGTTGAAGCCTTGGACATGTTGAAGTCTTGAACACGTTGAAGCCTTGGACATGTTGAAGCCAAGCCTTGGACATGTTGAAGCCTTGAACATTTCCAAGTCTTGAACACGTTGAAGGCTTGAACATGTTGAAGTCTTGAACATGTTGAAGCCTTGGACATGTTGAAGTCTTGAACACGTTGAAGCCTTGAACATGTTGAAGCCTTGAACATGTTGAAGTCTTGAACATGTTGAAGCCTTGGACATGTTGAAGTCTTGAACACGTTGAAGCCTTGAACATGTTGAAGCCTTGGACATGTTGAAGTCTTGAACACGTTGAAGCCTTGGACATGTTGAAGCCAAGCCTTGGACATGTTGAAGCCTTGAACATTTCCAAGTCTTGAACACGTTGAAGCCTTGAACATGTTGAAGTCTTGATCATGTTGAAGCCTTGGACATGTGTCATGATAAGACGGTTGTAAAGAATATACTGCTTTGTTCAACCAACAGAGGGGCAGTAGGGTAGCCTTGTGGTAAAAGGGTTTGCTTGTCATGCTGAAGACCTGGGTTCGATTCCTGACTTGGGTACAATGTGTGAACTGTGAAGCCCATTTCTGGTGACCCCCGCCGTGATATTGTTGGAATATTGCTAAAAGCGGCGTTAAACCATACTCTCACTCGGCCAACAGAAGAAACATATATTCAAGTCTAGAATGATCTGGCAAGTCTAGAACTGACTCAGCTCTGAAATTCAGCATTGTTCTGGGCACCATTTGAGTTTAAATTTTTTGTTTGTAGATATATATCTTTAAATTCGAAAACTTTATTTCTGGAACTCTACCCTCCCCGATACCTCAGAGGAAGACATTATAAACAAATACATGTAAATATATTACATGTTCCTTATTTTGTAAAAATTATTTCCATATTCTCCTCCCATGCTTGCCGTAAAAGGAGACTATGCTTGTCGTAAGAGGCAACTAGCGGGATCGGGTGGTCAGGCTCGCTGACTTGGTTGATGCATGTCATCGTATCCCAATTGCATGGATCAATTCTCATTATGTCGATCACTGCATTGTCTAGTCCAGACTTGATTATTTTCAGACTGCCGCCATATAGCTGGAATATTGCTGAATGCGGCGTTAAACAACAGACAAAGGAAGAAAGAAGTTCTCCTAATGTACAAGCTCATCAAAGAGTATGCTGTACATTCTAACACAGCAGTGCTTCACGGGGAGAGGGATGTCAGTGTCCCATGTATAATATGTTTTCATCCTCTTCCAGTTCCACCTAGCAATGACATCACACGATCCAAACTTATTGCGTGAGGTACGAGAGTATCTTCATTCCAACAATGATGCCATGACGTCCAAGCCTGTCCCCCACGGAGCCTACAGTCTGTTCAGCTTTCCCGCGGCACCCAAACATAAATATGATGAGGTGTACCCAGGGATTGTCCTCGGTGACCAGTAAGTCAGGGCAGACATATTGGCCCCTACAGAATCATCTTCTGTTTCACATTGCATCTATCTTTGTTACCTCTCTGGGTTAGAAAAGGTCCCCGACCTAGACTGGTTATAATGGATCTGGACCCCGTTCCACAAAGCCATCTTAGCGCTAAGGTGTAACGATACAGGAGGGTTGAGATACGATAAGTATCGCGATACAGGGGTCGCAATACGATACGTATCACGATACAGTGTTTACTGGTACAAGCTAAGCCAAGTTGATGTCTTTCTGCTCTCTAAAAGATGTGACAAGTACAGTTGAAGAAGATATAAGGTGTTTATTTACTGTTATAGTAAAGTGTCAGCAATAAAGTATGTTTTACTTAAACAACAAACTGGCTTTGAAACTGTTAAACGTATTTCATGTATTTTCTTGAGTATAGTGCGCACCCATGTGTAATGCGCACCCCCCTCTAGCGGATTCAATATTTTGGAAAAAAAGAAATTTGAATATTATGCGCAAAAAACAATTACACCGTGCCCCTTCAGCGAACTTCGTCAGTACAAATTCGAAATTTGAGATAAAAAATCACCAGACATGTTGATTTACCGTTTAAATTGTATTTTTCGTTCAGCTAGGCATGGTTTTATATCCAGGGATTAAGATTACCTTGTGTATTTTCTCGTAAACTAAGCCGGACACAGATATGGATTTGTTGACATGCTATTTCCAGTGTTACGTGCTCGCGGTAATGTCTTTCCATGGGGAAAAAAACATCAAAACTCATTTATTCGTGTATAATGCGCACCCCCTTCTACACAGCTGTGTTTTTTGGAAAAAGGTGCGCACTATACTCAAGAAAATACGGTAAGTAAAACTGTGTTATGAAAATATCGTATGTATCGCGATACATGCTTTCCAAATCGATGCATCGTATCGTGGGCTGTGCATCGGGATACAATACTGTATCGCCGTATCGTTACACCACTACTTAGCGCTAAGGTGATCGTAACTCCCATACTTGAACACTGGCTTACGATAGTCGTAGCGCTACGATTTCTTTGTGGAACTGTACCCAGGTGGTCAAGCTCAGTGACAGCATGTTGATAGCATGTCCTTGTACCTCAATGGCTTGGATTGGTACTGGTCCAGACTTGATTATTTACAGGCCTCAGTCACATAGCTGATATATTCAAAGTAGAGATAGTCTATGGACAACAACTTCTTTATTTACATTTTGGTATAAATCCTTATACCTAGCTTGACAATGATATAAGGATCTATACCGGAACGTCTTTACAGTAAATACAGAAGTTGTTATCCATGAATTATCTCTACTTTGTCATCCGTCAACTTCTCAGTAATGCCTATGAAACAAAGCTGGAATATTGTTGAGTATGTCGTTAAACAACACACAAAAAACAAACAACCTAATTAGATGACACTCTCTTTCCAATCTCATTAAAATCAGATCTGAGGACATCCCATTACGGGTCACATCAGACCGACCTTTCACCAATTGTGACCAATGAAATGATTGACAAGAAGTTGAACAAAAGAACATTCTGGAATGGCTAATAGATGGCCTAGATTGTATAGTTTCAGTCATAAACCTTGTATCTACTGTTCGAATTTCCAAGGTAGCATGATCAGAAAATGCATTCAGACTGTCACTTTCATGATCTGGTAAGCGACACTCTGATTGGTCATATGAAAGGTCGTTTTGACGTGACCCATAATGGGGTGTCAACAGATCTTTGTTTAGCAGTAGCGAGAACTAAGATTTGATTTTAATAAGATTGCTCTCTTTCTGTCCCTCCTCCCCCGACCCTTTACCTCATGTGGGCTGATGTTGTCCTTTGTCACCATCCTCAAATGTTTTACGTTTTTTGCTTGATGGATTCAGATGAAATTATGTGTTTGATTTAAAAATGATAATCCCAAAATGTTTTCCATAATGTTAGAGAGCCAGTGGCCTGAAACTTTATTGGTGTTAAGGTCACCATATGTACATGATGTAGCTCCAGATAACTTTTTGAGCAATTGAGTTTTTACTCAAGGGTTTCTATCTTATTTGGGTTATTCCATTTTTGATTGTGTAACCAGTATTTTCTCACTCACCTATTCATCACCATATTGGGTTTTTCCCAAAATTAGTGAACATTTTAAGATTTTGAAAAAATGAAATAATGTTTTATATGTATATAACTGTTCTAACTATAGGCCTGACTCGGAAAGAAAATAAGCTCGTAATTGTGTTTCGGAAATTAGCTCCTTTGTACGCATGCTGAAAAAGCTTCATTGGGTCTTTACATGAGCTGTTTTAATACATTTGAGTTTTTCATTTAATGCATGCGTTTTTAAATGCAAGTTAATTGAAAGTAATTGGGTTTTGAATATTTAGGGGTATTTTACGCAAATACGTGCTTATCTGTAGCTCTGCCAACTCCCATAATATAGGACCAGTGTTATTGGCCATGTGCTGTGTTGCAGCTCCACAGCCCGGGACAAGGAGGACTTGAAGTCTATGGGCATCACACATGTTGTCAACACCTGCATGGGAGCCAAGTTCAACATGATCGACACCAATGCTGAATATTTCAGTGATGTTGGAATCCAGTTTTTCGGTTTCCCTGGGAAGGACATATTTACCTACAACCTCAGTCAACACTTCGACAAGGCAGCTGACTTTATAGACAAAGCTCTTGCAGACAATGGTGAGTTTTAAAGACTGTGATGATAGACTGAGTTCTCCTGTGATAAGGGAGCTGATTTCAGAGACATAACATTTTGTTTGTTTGTTTGATGATTAACGCCGCACTCAGCAATATTCCAGGTATATGACGGCAGACTAACTAATCGAGTCTGGACCAGACAATTCAGTGATTGACATCATGAGCATCGATTCATGCAATTGGGATACGATGACATGTATCAACCAAGTCAGCAAGCCTGACCACCCAATCCCGTTACCGTAATTTCTTGAGTATAATGCAAACACCCCTCTAGCAGATTCAGTATTTTGGGAAAATGTTTTTTGAATCCCTTGAGCGAATTCCGGTAAATGAACCGGTGATGAGAAACTTGGTCAGTACAAATTTGAAATTTGAGATAAAATATCACCAGACATGTTGATTTACCATTTAAATTGTATTTTTTGTTCTGCTAGGCATTGTTTTACATCCAGGGATTAAGATTACCTTTTGTTTTTTCTCGTAAATTAAGCTGGAAACAGCAATCAGCTGTACACATGTTTTCTGGGAATCTACCGGTGATTCGGTCAAGACACACCTAATGATATAACTTTACAGGATTTTAATGCAAGGATCGGCAAAAATAGAATCTGAAACTATTTTTTTACCAGGAATAACATATTCCAATATCTTGTTATTTTAGTTGTAGCTTTTACTAAATATATTTAAAATAATAATAACCCTAAGCGAAGCAGCTGATCAAATTTGGAAGTTTTTGTATCAAATATCAGCCCCTGAGCAGGCCTAGATAAATTCCTGTAACTACCGGGGTAATACACTGTTCAAAGTGGCGTTAAACTCCCTCACTCACTCACTCACTCACTGTGTTTCCTAAACCTATGTTGTGTTGTGCAGGGAAGGTCTACATCCACTGCATGCAGGGCATAAGTCGATCAGGATCAACCGTGCTGGCGTTTCTCATGTTGAAGCGAGACATGCCGCTCAAGGAGGCAGTGAAATTAGTTCGAGCCAAGAGAGAGATTTTCCCCAATGATGGCTTTCTCAAACAACTGTGTGAGCTAAACAGGAAGCTACATGGGAAGCCATCTTGATGTCTGCTGGATCCATGGAAGCCATCTTGGTGTCTGCTGGATCCATGGAAGTCATCTTGAAGTCTGCCGAGGCCATGGAAGCCATCTTGATGTTTGCTGAGGCCATGGAAGCCATCTTGATGTCTGCTGGATCCATGGAAGCCATCTTGATGTCTGCTGGATCCATGGAAGCCATCTTGATGTCTACTGAGTGCATGGAAGTCATCTTGAAGTCTGCCGAGTCCATGGAAGCCATCTTGGTGTCTGCCGAGTCCATGGAAGCCATCTTGATGTCTGCCGAGTCCATGGAAGCCATCTTGGTGTCTGCCAAGTCCATTGTAACTTGACCATGGTGTAAAACCAACATATCAACCATGTCTACCCCATCATGAGATTCACGTATTTATAGAATATTGAGACTCAATTCCTTTTCTACTCTCTCAGTACTTTGTTCATGGTTGTGTTCTTTGCAATGAATGAGCCTAGTGGTTAAGGCGTTTGCTTAACATGCTGAAGACCCTGGGTTCAATTCTCCTTATGGGTACAATGTGTGCCTGGCCATGATAATGCTGGAATATTACTACAAGTGGTGTAAAACTATACTCACTCACTAACAATAAATATGTTTCTTATGATGTACAGTTTGTTATTTAATATTTCAGTTGATGAATTTTATGTTTGTAATTCTGATAACCCACATTGTGAATTTATTTTGTTGCCAAGGTATACTGTGGTATTAAGATTGTAAGCAAATGGAATTTACTTTTTTATGCGATCAGGGAAAACAGAAACCTGTTACCATGGCTATGTCAAGTTTTGCGCAATATGCATAACAAATCAAACATTAGTTAGATTGTGTCTTTCTCCATTGATATTTGAAACCGAAGTAGGTTTCGGCACAGTTTAAGTGATGCTGTACACCGGATCCATCAACTTGAAGATGGTGAAATGTGACAAGTTGAGAAAATAATCCAACCCCTTCATCCTAGTTATATCTTTTATACTCCAGTATAAAGAGTATTCATCACAAGTGATATTTAGCTCACCTGACCTGCTGAAGGTTTGTATGAGTTCATGTCATCACAAGTCATCCATAGTTTTTGTTGCCCTTAAAGCTATGATTATTGCTGATTTATGAGATTGTTTGTGTAAATGTTTGTTACTGTAGTTACTATAAGGGGGTTCAAGGTTGTTCAGCGCCTCAAAATTTGAATTTCAATATGGCTGCCTCAGCAGTCATATTAGAAACCCATTAATTGCCATTTCTCAAATATTTTGTTTGAAGTGTATAGAAATCTACATGTGTAGTTAGTAGTGGGATTTTGTTGATAAAAATGAATTATCCCTTAGAATTCTTGAAATTGCCTGCTTCAAAAGTTACAAGATGTTCTTCTTTTTAAAAAGTCATGCTCATAGCTTTAAGTAAAAAATATCTGGTTTTGTAACTGTGTATCTATTTTCTCTGTACAAAATCCCAGGGCTGTGGAACTATTGTTGATAATCTGTATCATGTTACATGCTTGTGATGTCTTGAAAGATGTTATGTTTTCCTAGGTTTATGACATGGCTCTACTCACTCAAATGTTTTGTCAGTGAAGGGATGTACTGGGTTGTGTAAGAATGTCCTGGGTTATGCGAGGGACAGTTTGTCAGGGACACAGTGTCGACATATCCTTGGTTTTGTCACAGTGCAAGAATGTCTTGGGTATTGTCAGGGACATTGTGAAAATGGCTTTAACTTATTTATTGTTTCAACTTTATGGATGTGCTCACATAGCAATTCTCCCAACATCTGAGCTTTAATCTTTTGTTGAATGATCTTTTGGCATCTATTTTGACATCTTCCAGAGGCAATGTGTTGACTGACTATAGAAGTCCAGTTTCCACCCTTGACAAACTCACCTGCGGTAATGGAGTTATATTTTGGCTGCAATAATGAGTCTATGCATAGTCCAATCAAAATCGCGTAATGAAATCAGCATCCGGTTTGTAAACATCTGTGCAGATTTTCGTTGTTTGCGTGATTTGCAAAATGTGTTTACCGTCAACTTATTTTCCAAATCTGTTCATGTTTTTAATCAAGGTGCTCATACGATTTGATGAACTTTGCAAATAAGACCCATGTTATTACAATATAGATCTTGATTATCATCACTGGGCGCCGCCATTTTGTTTGAAGCAAATGCAAGTGGTATCAGAGGTGAAATCTGATTGGTCAGTAGGAGGGACATAGAAGGGACATAACTCGTTATAGCCACTGGTGGCGCTGCGATAGAACCTATAAAATTCCAGCCTACTTTGGCAAGGGTGGAAACTGGACTTTTACAGTCAGTTAACTCCCTTGCCTCGTGAAGATGCTATTTTGATAACTATGTTTAATTTGTATGAAACATATTTTGATTAATGTAATTGGCTTTACTTGAAGGTACCAACATAACGATGAGTGATATTTTGCAGAAATGTATGTTTTGTTACAGTATTGATCTGGTTTTTTTATGAACCCTTCAGAGGGGCTGTGTGTGTCTTTGTATGTAGTGGAATTTGAATCTGGTAATGAATCAGGCTCATGGCAATACACATCTACGGCACAGGTGGCCTAGTCGTCTAAGCGCAGTCATTCGCTGTGCAGAGTTGCGTCCCTTAGGCATGCTAGAAACCTAGGATCGTGGGCTCAAACCCCATTTCACTCCAATTGTGATTCTAGGTTTATCAGCACCATACCCGTGCTTGTGGGTTTCAACAACGTGATCTGCATCACTTCAGGCTTTCCTCCAACATTAAGCTGACATGTCATGATATAACTGGAATACTGTTCAAAGCGTGTTAAACCCAACTCACTCACTCACACCAAGAGTATCCCTGTCAGCCGTTGAGTATGGCAGCTGGGGCGTACTGATTTATCACACATCAATACATAGCAATACTTTCATGGCAAGTTGAAATATCAGTGGTTAATATGCCGGGCTAAACTATCGATAGTAAAGACCGACATTATAAAATATATCAGCACTTGGATCACTTGATTGGCTAACCAAGCAAACATGCCACGCCCACTAACGGACACACGTTTCCTGATTGGCTGATAATACAGTGGGCGGGGTTTGTGTTGCATGATCACTCTGAACTGTCACTGATGAAGCTTTTTGTGTAAATAATTAAATAGCAGTCTGTGAAGCTATAGCGTCTTCAGCAATAGAAAAAGTGCCTTCCATTGTCTCTTGTGTAAGGCATAAGGGAAATAACTCTTGACTTCTTCAGTAACATGGAGCCGACATGGATTAGTGTCTGTGGTAACACGAAATGACAGTTAACCCCTTGCCAGCAGCTCGGGTATAACTCACAGGTTGTCCAGTTAACCCCTTATCAGCAGCTAGGGCTGAATCTTATGTTGGTCAGTTAACCCCTTATCAGCAGCTAGATTTAACTCTCCTGTCGGCCAGTTAACCCCTTGCCAGCAGCTAGGGTGTAAGTCTATGTTGCACAGCTGAATCCTTGTTAGCAGTTAGGGTATAACTCACATGTTGCCCAGTTAACCCCTTATCTGCAGCTAGGGCTGAATCTTATGTTGGTCAGTTAACCCCTTGCCAGCAGCTAGGGTGTAAGTCTATGTTGCACAGCTGAATCCTTGTTAGCAGTTAGGGTGTAACTCACATGTTCCCCAGTTAACCCCTTGCCAGCAGCTGGGGTGTAACTCACATGTTCCCCAGTTAACCCCTTGCCAGCAGCTAGGGTGTAAGTCTATGTTGCACAGCTGACTCCTTGTTAGCAGTTAAGGTGTAACTCACATGTTCCCCAGTTAACCCCTTGCCAGCAGCTGGGGTGTAACTCACATGTTCCCCAGTTAACCCCTTGTTAGCAGCTGGGGTGTAACTCACATGTTCCCCAGTTAACCCCTTGCCAGCAGCTGGGGTGTAACTCACATGTTCCCCAGTTAACCCCTTGCCAGCAGCTGGGGTGTAACTCACGTGTTACCCAGGTAACCCCTTGTTAGCAGCTGGGGTGTAACTCACGTGTTGTACAGGTAACTCCTTGTTAGCAGCTAGGTGTAACTCACATGTTGCCCAGTTAACCCCTTGCCAGCAGCTAGGGTGTAACTCATGTGTTGTACAGGTAACTCCTTGTTAGCAGCTAGGTGTAACTCACATGTTGCCCAGTTAACCCCTTGTCAGCAGCTGGGGTGTAACTCACATGTTGCCTGGTTAACCCCTTGCCAGCAGTTGGGGTGTAACTCACGTGTTACCCAGGTAACCCCTTGCCTGCAGCTGGGGTGTAACTCACGTGTTGCCCAGGTAACCCCTTGCCAGCAGTTGGGGTGTAACTCACGTGTTGCCCAGGTAACCCCTTGCCAGCAGTTGGGGTGTAACTCACGTGTTGCCCAGGTAACCCCTTGCCAGCAGCTGGGGTGTAACTCACATGTTGCTATCGGTTTTAACCAGACGTTGTAGTATACTCCCACTGATTCTCTCCAACAAGTCTGTGATCTGTCAATGTTCCCAGGTGCTCTCTCCTGAGCAGTATCAGGTTTCAGTTGTTGTCACCCATGGATTAGTTCTTTGTTGTTTTATATCCATTTACCTCTCTTACTCCCGTTTGTTACATTTTTTACAAGATGACTAATATGCTGGTTATGAAATATGTTACAACTTGTACTCTTTTTACGAATAAATATGTTTACTGGTTGACATTGTTAATTATATGACCATGTGACTTCATGCTGTCAGGATAGACTCCAATGTCAGTTGAATGGCTTGTAACCCTCCTTGTTGGTTTCAGCAAATAGCTAAACGTTTAAGACCTGCATCACTCCAAACATCCCCACACGTTAAGCCGACATGCCCTGATACAACTGGAATACTGTTAAAACTGGCGTTAAACCAAGCTCACTCCCTAGAATAATCAACCCTTGAAACCTAGACTTTATACCCGCCTATATATTACCCAAGACACGGGTCCGTTCCATAAAGCAGTCTTAACGCAACTCGTAACTCCCATACTTTCACATAAACTTGCGACAGTCGCAGCACTAAGATGATCATAACTCCGATACTTTAACATAAACTTGCGACAGTCGAATCACTTAGATGATCATAACTCCCATACTTTAACATAAACTTGCGACAGTCGAATCACTTAGATGATCATAACTCCCATACTTTTACATAAACTTACGACAATCGCAGAACTAACATGATCGTTACTCCCATACTTAGGGTGAACTCCCCGGTGTTTGAAAAACGTTTTTATTATAAACAACAAATACAAACAATATTTACAACATATTTACAACTACACAACAAAATAAAAATGAATCTATGACACTGTAAATAAAGTCATTCGTTGATTTCTGAAGAGTTTCAAACTTAACGTACCTGAGCTATCACAGTCTAATTTCAGACACAGTACACCGCCAATGGCTACATAACCGCTCATGCGGCGTCACACAACACTCACATGATCATTTCGGTGATTTCAATATCCAAGGAAATTTGAACTTCACATTGCCACCGTTGTGAGAACCTTGAATTGCCAGCCTTGTAAGAACCTTGAAGAACGAGTTCAAGTATCTCTCCCAAAAGAAGTTACCTGCGGGGTGGCAGACGCACTGACTCGCACCAGAACTTATCCTCTCGACTTATATGGTGTCTCGCTGAACTTCAGACGGGGAGCAGGGCCCTGTATACCACATACTTGTTGATTGTGCTGTTTTGATTCTTTATTATGCTTGGTGTTGTGGAACGTCCACTGTCATCATTGACGAGCTTTCTGAAAGTCTTTCACGAGTCGCGACATTTCCTGCACTGATTCCAATAACCCTTCTCCATTTGGTGCGCATGCGCCGTGTATGTACCATTTCCGGTTACTGAGGTCCCTCATGTCAAGTTCCTCGACGACATCCGAGGGTTTTAGGGCACCTACGTACAGACACACAAGGATATATAACAAACAGGTAGATATAACAGGGACGGAAAATAGGCCTATTTTCAGCCATGCGAATAGTAAATAAATAGAGACATAATTTCTGCATACGTAATGTCGAGTTGCGTCCCTTGACTGTATAAAACACACCTGACGTTTGATATATAAGTGGCCCAGTAGTCAAAGCTTTAGCTCGTGTCGCCGAAGACACTGGTTTGACACCCCATCCCCACCCCGTATAATTCATGAAGCCGATTTCCCACTTTGTAACATGACAGGAATTTGGCTTAACATGGCCCAACACCCACCCACTCACTCACTTCGTAAACCGTTAGCTAGTCGTGCCGGAGACTGGTTTCAGTCCTCCCAAACCTTGCTCATGGTATCAACCACTGGTTTGCCTTCCGTAGGTGTAACAGCCTGGTTCCCTGGGTATGCTGCGCTGGCACTACATTGAAGTAGGGAACCAGGCTGAAGGTTTGATTGTTGTCACATGGGCCACTCTGACGCACCCACCTGGCAAGTCCTGCTTGTTGGCGATCACCACCACCGGTACCCCCACCATCTCCGGCGTACTGCAGATTCCATGCAGCTCCGACCTGGCTTCCTTTATACGCAGGCGGTCTGCGCTGTCCACCACGTAGATCAGACCTGGGGTTATTTAAGAATTGACTTAATCATGTTTTGCCTTAAAGGAAATATAAACGTAAAGGTCGGTGAGCACAATGTGTGAATACGCATAGTCAACACTAATATCTTCACATACTGCTTGCTTAATCATTAACACAAACACACTGTTGATAACAATATGAAACCAGTGACATCGTCCAGCGCAATTATGCACAAACCCCGTCCATTCTATGATCAGCCAATCAGAAACAGTAGTCCATTAGTGGGTGCGGCCTTTTTTCGACTCGTGACTCGGCAATAACGACCCGTGAAGATCCGGGATAGAATAGGTCTTCAGCAACACATGCTTGTCGTAAAAGGCGACTATGCTTGTCGTAGGAGGCGACAAACGGGATCGGGTGGTCAGGCATACTGACTTGATGCATGTCATCGTATCTCAACTGCGTAGGTCGATGCTCAATCATTGGATTGGCTGGTCCAGACGCGATTATTTACAGACCGTTGTCATATAGCGGGAATATTGCTGAGTGAAACAACAACAAAATAACAAAACAGACAAGGTGCACTGCGAACCGTGGATCATGCCCTCTGAAGTGTGTGGCTCCCCGTGTGAAGTTCTTATATTACACCTACCTTGTGTGTTCAGGTAGTAGTGTTTCCACAGCTGTCTGATCTTCTCCTGGCCGCCAACGTCCCACACCGTGAACGTCACGCCCTTCACCGGACTGACCGTCTCCACGTTGAAGCCGATGGTGGGGATGGTACACACGCTCTCGTTCAGCTTCAGCTTGTACAGGATGGTCGTCTTACCTGGGACAACACCACCATATTACCGAGACGGATAACGTTTGTAATGCAACGAATCCTTCCACTGATCATGCTCACTGCGCTACATTATATTCTAACTGCACGCTGGTCACTAATATTATTGGTGACATGGGGTTTAAAGTCGCGTCCAAGATTGTGGCACTTGTATAGCGACGTGTGTGTGTGTGTGTGTGTGTGTGTGTGTGTGTGTGTGTGTCTGCTTGTACTAGTCCGGACTGATGCCGATTTATAGTGCTAGCACACTGAGATAACCTGCCGCATTTTAACATGTATATCCCACTCAGACACAGTATGCGTACTACGAGCCGACCAGTCCTTGTTTTGGCCCCTTGATGCCGAGCGCCAGACAGGGTCACAACAAGTACCATCTTTTAACGTCTTTTGGTATGACGCGTCCTGGGATCGAAGACCTTCCCCGCTCCGGGCGGACGCTCCACCACTAGACCACGGAGGCGGTCCATGTTATTACTAACCTAGCACAATATCATACCATCATAACATAACAAATATATACGCTTAGTTCGAATTCCAATGAGGATTCTATTCACTTCAAGTTTCAGCGAGGTGTCATCGTACATGTACATTTTCTGTGGGTCTCAAACACATTATACCACGTCCCTATCTATAGCATGGTTTATTTACGAGAGTTCGAGTGAGTGAGTATGGTTTTACGCCGCTTTTAGCAATATTCCAACAATATCGCGGCGGGGGACACCAGGAATGGGCTTCATACATTGTACCCATGTCGGGAATCGAACCCGGGTTTTCGATGTGACGAGCGAACGCTTTAACCTGTAGGCTACCCGACCGCCCGCACTAGAGTTCAAGTTCTGATTAAACAGATGAAATGTTAAGCCCTGTTGACAAGTGCATCGATGCAAGCTTAATAAATTCACAACAAAGGGGCATTTAAAGTTGAATACCCAACCCTCCCAATAATACAAAAGTGTTAAAGCACACCATTTGGAATCAGAAAAAAATAATAATTACACATGTTATATCCCCCTCCATCGTGAAGATCCGGGTTACAATTGATCTTCAGCAAGCCATGCTTGTCGTAAAAGTCGGTTAACGGGATCTCGGGTGATTATTTACAAATCGCCGTCTTATAGTTATATTGCTGAGTGCGCCGTACAACAAACAAACAAACAAACAAACAAAACGTATACCCCCGAGGTCTCCCCATGCCTACCTGCTGCATCCAGTCCCAGCATCAGGATCCGAGCTGGTTCCGATGAAAACTCACTGTAGATCTGCATAAGCCGTGATAGTATCAAACCCATAGCGATATCACAAAATATCACCTGAACACGATGAATGTTCCTTGAAATGTGTCCCGTTCTGTAGAAACAGTGTAAGTGAATAACAAAGAGTCCGTTGTCCGTTCCCACTCTGAATTATCACCAGCTATTATCCCAAACGTTCTCTGTCTGACTGCCTCACGCTGATATGACCACACACACCACTGACACCCTTATATACTTCACATTCAGGAAGCCAGGCGGCGAAATATACAACACGCAACTTTGCCCTGTCAATTTCTAGCCACGTGGAGTTCTTAAAATAGCTCACGACTGCGATGTGGATCGCGACAGGTTGGCGAAAATGACGTCACACGGCTATCACCACAACAAACTGGTCACGTGATTGTAGTCAACGAACAATAACGTGATCTTATTGCTCACTACCGTACAGTTGTGTTGTGTATATATATTACAGTATACAGACAGACAGTTTATTCGTATATGTGGCCAGAAGACCAATAGTTCATCATGTTTACATTAAGGCGTTATAAATGTTACAATGAGCGCACCTTAATATATGCTGTACAAGTAACAAAAGACATTTGTTCACAAACGGACTGTGCTCTTGTGAAATATATGATACAATAATAGAGATCGCTTAGATAATAGACTATCGTCACCAGTCTGCATTAGTATCAGAAACCCTTCAAACGAAGGCCTGATTACAAAATACTGGGGTAAATATTTCATTCTTATGATACTGTAGTCTGGGCAAATCATCAACACATGAAATTCATCTTCTGTAGGCCAGGAGTATCTTCTGTTTCAGGAGTTTTGGAAAATCACAGTTATACATATTGGATATGTTTTGTCATCTACCGTCTTAAATATGTATGTGTCTATCTATGTGTTTTTTTTGTTTTGTGTGCGTGTGTGTGTGTGTGTGTGTGTGTGTGTGTGTGTGTGCGTGTGTGTGTGCGCGTGTGTGCGTGCGTGAGTACGTGCGTACGTGCGTACGTGCGTACGTGCGTGTGTTTAAATTTAACGTCGCATCGGCATTATTTCAGCCAAATATCGACGAGAACAAGTTGATATAAACACAATTGAGTCACGAAGATATTTTTAAAAACAAATTTGTCAAACATATTTGGGCATAACAACAGTAAATCTAACTATTTCCCGTTAATCAATATTGCTCCATATATTTATATCGTACATCACGGATTCTTTTGCAATGTGCTTATTGTTCCATATTTTAAAACACCGTTTTGAGGTTGCACAGAGGTGGTGCAAGAGGACACTCATGCATTATGAACTAACACTAATGCATTATCAACCAACACTAGTGCATTACCATCCAACACTAATGCATTACCAGCCAACACTAATGCATTAGCAACCCACACTAATGCATAAGCAACCAACACTAATGTATTACCAGCCAACACTAATGCATTAGCAACCCACACTAATGCATTACCCACCAAAACTAATGCATTACCAGCCAACATTAATGCATTACCAACCAACACTAAAGTATTAGCAACCAACACTCATGCATTAGCAACCCACACTAATGCATAAGCAACCAACACTAATGTATTACCAGCCAACACTAATGCATTAGCAGCCCACACTAATGCATTACCCACCAAACCTAATGCATTACCAGCCAACATTAATGCATTACCAACCAACACTAAAGTATTAGCAACCAACACTAATGCATTACCAGCCAACACTAATGTATTAGTAACCCACACTAATGTATTAGTAACCCACACTAATGCATTACCCACCAAAGCTAATGCATTACCAGCCAACATTAATGCATTACCAACCAACACTAAAGTATTAGCAACCAACACTCATGCATTAGCAACCCACACTAATGCATAAGCAACCAACACTAATGTATTACCAGCCAACACTAATGCATTAGCAGCCCACACTAATGCATTACCCACCAAACCTAATGCATTACCAGCCAACATTAATGCATTACCAACCAACACTAAAGTATTAGCAACCAACACTAATGCATTACCAGCCAACACTAATGTATTAGTAACCCACACTAATGCATTACCAGCCAACAATAAAGTATTAGCAACCAACACTCATGCATTAGCAACCAACACTTATGCATTAGCAAACCGCAGTAATTCATTAGCTACCCGCACTAATGCATTAGCAACCAACCCTTATGCATTAGCAACCCGCACTTATGCATTAGCACCCAACACTAATGCTTTAGCAACCCTAACCCTAACCTAACCCTGACAAAGTGAAAGTCAGTTTTTTAAGTATTTGGACAATGATTAGTTTTCATGAATGTAGTACTATTTAATGTAAGCGGTGGTAAGGAAGTTATTATATTTATATGCTCGACATATCTTTAAACTTCCGGAATATCATGGATGGATGTCAAGAGTTAAAGTAACATATGGAATATTCTGTGATGTTCAAGGGACACTGGACTTTTCTGACACTGTGTAGGAAATGCTTGAACCTGGTAACATTATCTAAGTGCGGCTGGCGCGTCACTGTCTCACCTCACATTCCATCTGTCATTACATCAAGACCAGCTTTTGTGTGAAGATCATACATCAGCCTGGTTTCCCAGCCTAGGCCAATCTAAGAAAGCTTGATGACTGTTGCGGGTAGGGGAATATTATTATCACTGAACATTTTGATATTACCACTGCCATCATATAATTTGGCATTTGATACTGCCACTGACCATTGTACTACCAGTCTATTGTGAGTTGCCATTGTAATTGCTGCGCAGAAATGGGTATTGATTTGTAAAACTAGTTAATTGTAAAATATAATTGTTGATTGCATACCATTTGTTGGTTTCACACTAAATTCTGTTATGAACAGGTTTTTTGATTAACATATTGTTTCAATTGGATATCGACACCTAACAAGATGTCAGAATGATACATTGATGAGGAATGTTGATATGAGAGATGGAGTGCTACTGAATGGGAGCCAACACTTTGAAGGCTATCAGTCAACTGTTTGAAGGTGCAAGCGGATAGTAATTATAATGAATTAAACTTGCTGTTCAGCGAAATAATTTTGTGCTTCCAACACAACACATATAAAACTGTGTCAAACAACAGTTCTTGCAATAATATAAAATATCACTTCCTGGTTTTATATAACAGAAAACTTCTTATCTCTTTGTAACTGTAACACACTCCATGTTACTGACATTTGTCTCCGATGGAGAAACGTAACAGTTAATGTTGTGCAATATCGATCATGTAGTGCACGATTTTCACTAGTACTAAGTATACTGTATTGTAATAAATAACAAATAAAATATTTTACCTTTAAATATAATTTTATGAACTGCTGCTGTCCTTATACAACATTGATTTCCCTTGGAGTTAATAGTGAGTGAGTGAGTTGGATTTAGCGCCGCTTTTAACACTATTCCAGTTATATCACGGCGTGTCAGTTTAACATGGGGGAAAAGCCAGAACTGATACAGGTCTCAGACGTTTACCACTTTGGTGAAACCAACGAGCACGGGTATGGTGCTGACTTACCTAGAAACATAATCAGGGCGAACCGGGATTCGAACCCACAATCGTAGGTTTCCTGCATGCTCAAGGGACGCAACTCTGCACAGCGAATCGCGGCGCCTTAGACAACTGAGCCACCCGCGCCCCCTCTTTTGGTTAACAGGTCGCTCCGATTCACTGCGCTGCTACATTGTGCCATATTTTCAGAAACTCCACGTAAACACAATCCCACTTGTGGTCGAATCCCAATTCCTTGTTAAACACATTCATTCGTCAACACTCGTCCCTTTCCGTAAACTGCGAGAAGATTGTCCCGGAATGACACGAGCTGGTCACGAATGAATCACTTCCTGCTTCTGAATTTCCCTCAACACCAGGTAAGTGTGTGTTGTCACAAGGCTTGCGTCTACTTCAGTTAAAACGCTACACACCTGTCCTACTGTGTACTGGTAACACCACAAGGGTTCATCTAACTATACAGTCATCTCCAGGCAGATTCTCATGACCGGGCACTTAATTAAATATAACATGTAGGCTAACCGGAATACATCAAAGATCTACTTTCACTATTGCCTTCGATACTTGACTTCAATACTGAGACTGATCCCGATGTACGTGTATGTGTATATCACGTGTGTCTGTTACAGTTGTTACTGACATGGTCCCTGACAAATGCTACAGTAAACAATACGGGAAAATACTTCTACATAACTATATTACTTCACATCTGATATGGTAGTCTGTGAACTGTAATAATGTCTCCTACTTTCGATATGGTAATGAGTTGGTGTCACCCCACAACTATGTCACGTGATCGATACACTGCACACACTTCATGTTGTAAAGCCAGCGGGTGGCCTCGAGTTGAAAAGCACCCTTCACTAACTCTTCACTGACAGGCCACAGATCCAGGTTATATACAGACGGGCGAATGGGTAGCTATGTCTCCTGTAGGACCGCCGAGAGTAGAGAAATACACGCTCTCTCACACACATATATACACACACACGCGCACGCACGCACGCTCACACACATTCTGACACCAACGCACGCACGCACGCACGCAATCACACAAACACAGTGTATTGCAGAATGTTAGTTCATAATTCATAATATCTGCATAATCTGAGATAATTGGTTTTTATTATGAAACGGGATATTTGTTAATTGTTTCAAGATCTTGATGATCCAGGCGGTGAATGGGAGGATAGAAAATATCCTTCCTTAGTTTTGAACGGGACAGTAAATAAGTGCCACAACTACAGCCAGTGTTAGTGTTCCATGTTTAAGGACAGTAAGCTCGGGTTGTGGCTAAAATTTGTCTTTTGTTTACACCGAAAATACAAGGGCTGGTATTGTCTTTTTGTAGCTGAGATGGCGACCTCCCAGAAGTTAACAGAACACTTCCTGACATGCACGATATGTACAGAGGTGTTTGACAAGCCCTGTACACTTGTATGTAATCACACCTTCTGTCGGAAATGTGTGGTCAACTACACCAAAACCAGACCAGAAGCCATCAGTGCCAAGTCTCTCCTGTGTCCATTCTGCAGCAAGATGACGAAAGTGTCTGCCCCTGAGAGACCAGTGGAGGAGTGGGCGGATGACGTCAAACCTAGCTTTGTCATCCAGGGACTCTTGGACTCGTTTGGCCCCGGATCAAAAGGTTGGAATTTGTGATTTGTACGTGTATCAGTGTGGTTCCTAGGTCTGAGTGAGTAAGTGTGCTGAGGATACGAACGTGTGTGAAGTTGAGAAGAAAGTTTTCTGTGAATTTTCTAAACCTGTTGATGGCTTGTGTACGAAATACAATCCTATTGTGAACATGTGCTTAATGAGTAACATCCATGTGATCTAAGGTCTCTCTGAGACACAAACGTCGTCTTTTCTACGATCTATGTGGTGAAATAAACCAGTGCAACAAATTCAGTGTTATTTGAATAAGATTTCACGACAGCACTTATTGAAATGCTTGTGATGCCTATTTTCTCATCCACATCAGTTCATGATGAGCCACAGAATGTGCTATATGGAACATAATTGCACGGCGCCGTGGTTCTTTTGGTTTTGGTTTGAGAAAGTTAGATTGGATGAGTAGTAGTTGGAAAGATGTAAACCAACTTCTAAAAGATACATTCTTGTCTCACAAATGTTTTAGGGGCGGTCGGGTAGCCTTGTGGTTAAAGCGTTCGCTCCTCACGCCGAAGACCCGGGTTCGATTCCCGCCATTGGTTCAATGTGTGAGAGCCATTTATAATGTGTCCCCTGCCGTGATATTGCTGGAATATTGCTAAAAGCGGCGTAAAACTATACTCACCAACTCACTCACTCACAAATGTACAATGATATGCTTACATTCGAAGTACATATAGAACTTTTAAAATAATTTGTAACTAACTAAATTATTACACTAAACAGCTTTATGTTATTCTGACACAATCATAAGAGGAGATCACGCTCTGTCCTAGATTGGTTTACCTGCTCCAGAGCGCTTGCGCTCTTTGCCTGCAGCCGCTAGAAGGCGAAGGGCAAGGTACCAGTAGGGTTCTAATCGCTATTTCGCTAAGGTGAAACGTTGACCTATTTCCGTGAAGCGGGTGTGGCTGTCGAGAGGATCGAGAACAGGCCTACAGTGGGAAACGTTGACACAGTTTCCTTGTAGCGAGGTATTAGCACTTTTGTACAGAGTGAATAATTATATTACAAGCTACAGGAGTAAACATATCGGCATTAGGAAGGTAACTCTCACAGGGAAGTTGGGTTCATGGTTTAAAAAAACCCAAACACACTCACAACAATTTTAACAATATCTGCATGTCTCCAATGATCGCCTTCATTATGAAATAAAAACAATGCAAATTTTCAAGTGTGGATATATCAATGTCAACAGTGACTTGTATACCACTTTGAATGTGTCAACATAACATCCCCAGTACAAGTTTTTTAACATACTATGTTTGTTATCTACTTTTGTGTTACATAAATATTTAGACTGAAATGTGTCATATTCATATTCCTGAGTCTGGAGGACCACATGTAAATTACAATTTGTTTTACTTTCTGGGTTACACATGTACGCTTTATGACAGAATAGGTACTGCACAACTGGTAGTTATGCTACAACATTTCATTGCCCCGTGTTGATACTCTGGATCAAAGTTATATTGATATTTCAGATACAACCGACTGCAGTTATTGCAAGGAGGAAGGGGAGACAACACCAGCTACATCTTGGTGCTCTGTCTGTGATGACGCACTCTGTGAACGATGTTTACGGGTGCACAAACGAATCCCATCTACCAATCACCATGACGTAGTTGACCTGTCTGGAGAGACAAAGGTCAAAAGAAAGGTCATGTGTAAAGTTCACAAGGATGAAAATATCAAATATATTTGCAAAGATTGTAAAACAGCTGTCTGTCAAATATGCTGCACTATCCATCACAGGAAATGTGACTTGGTTGTAGAAATTGAGTCGGAGATTCCTGCAACGAAAACCGAGCTGAGAAGGAATAAAGAGGTATTGTTGAAGAAACACGACGAGATGAAAACACATGTTAGAAAACAAACCTCCAAAGTCGATGAAGCATTAACGCATTACTTACAAATAGAATCGAATATCAAGTCTGCAAGTCTCAAAGCAATAGAGGCGATCAAAGTCAAGGAACGGAAACTTTTGGCTGAACTGAAAGAAATGTCTGACAAACACATTGGAGAACTGAAGGCAGACATAAAGTCAGGTGAGATGTCAGTACAGATGTACCAACAACAGGCTGAGCTGATAGACCAGACTCTACAATCTGAGTGTGACATGGGTGTGTATGAGATGTACCAGGGATGTGAGGCTGGTGATGTGGAGGCTGTCGGAGTCACAGGCGTGAAGGAGAAGGGAAGAATAGCCAGGATCATGTTCAGACAGGACACGGACAAGCTGAGTAGAGCACTGGACGATCTACATCTGGGTGAGATAGGCGTCATGTATGAGGGTGTGCTGGACCTGAAGGCGACTCCTGTGTTACAGGACACCATTAACGTGCTGGACCTGAAGGCTACTCCTGTGTTACAGGGCACCATTAACACCAGAGTAGCAGGGGATACATCCGGGGCATACCCCTATGACGTGAAGGTGTTAGTGGTGAATGGTACAGACACAGTCGTAGTCACAGACTACTTGAACAACAGTGTGAAATCCTTCTACACCAGGAACAAGCAGCCATGTCACAGCAGGCTCAGTATGAGTGGTCGTCCGTGGGGTATAACAACGTTGAAGGTCAACCAGGTGGCTGTCACTGTGCAAGGTACCAGACAGATTGTAACAGTACAAGTCAACCCTGACCTGGTGCTGCTGTCAACCATCACAACCAGCAAACAGTACTTGGGTATCACGTCTCTGACACCATCAACACTAGCAGCAGGTTCCAGCTCTCCTCCCTGTGTCGATATCCTGGATATGGCGGGACACGTGCTGAAGTCAATTTGTCCAGGCCAACCTAGTAGATACATCTTGAAGAATCCCCTCTACCTCTGTACCACGAGGACAGGAAACACCCTGGTGTTTGACTGGGGATCCACGTGTGTCGTGTGTCTGACTCCCGAGGGAGATGTGGTGTTCACCTACAGCCCTTCAGGTGACAAAGTACTGAAATATCCACTTGGTATCACAAGTACCAGCACAGGCGACATCCTGGTGACAGACAACAATCTACACAGAGTCCTCCACCTGACTGAGTCAGGACAGTTTGTTAGAAACATACTGACATCACAGGATGGTGTCTGGAATCCATGTGGAGTGTGTGTTGGTGGGCGTGGCCGCATTTACGTGTGTACATCACATGAAGTGAAGGTATTTACATTGAAGTGAATGAACATGTCACAATCCTCCTTTCAATCAACTGTAGTCACGTGTGAGTTGAGGATTTATGTGTTTTGATATGTGTCATTGTGTATTTACCTGTAAGCACATTTCACCATGTTTTAGTAAAATCACATTATATATTAATGTTGAATCATCCATCTGAGCTTTGCTATTTAATGAATGATGATGAAATGAATGAAGATTTAATCGCACACGGTCTGTAAGTGTACACATTTTATATGTAATCTCAATACACGGCTGTTCACGTACTGCTTTTATCGTCCATATCACATCTGAACATGTTTTCTATTTTTTATATTACCAACTTCGAATATAAGTGGATTAAATAAAAGACCCTTACATCGAATACCAGATCCCCCACATGATGTGTTTTTCATCTTGCAACCACTTTGAGAGTGTAACGGAGCTGTGTTATAACTAGAGGTGTCGTGAGCTGAGTCGGAGTAGGATGGATATTTACATGACAGTAATCCTTGCTTGCTGTGTTGAGGACAATAAGCAGCACTGTTTTGTTACAGATTTACACACGGGCGCCGTTTTACTATCTATTTCTGATTTATATCATCAATTCATTTTATGATACCCCAAGATTAATTATTGTAATCATAATTCAAGTGTATTATGGATCTATTCGTGATATCTGATGTGTCTGTGGAATATCTACATGACAGCCAGACTTCCTTGATATGCGGAAAAAAAGACTTGTTACAGACATTCTTCCGACCACATAGATCTGGGAGACAGTTGCACTGCTGTGTCACTGTGACCTGCAAAGGAGGCCCGCGAGAGTCTGGCGTTTCTGAATTCTAAGGTCGAGAGGCTGATCATGTGACATGCGGTACGAAAACCGCCAAACCAGTCACAGTGAAAAGCCCGTATTAAGCAGCCGTTGTGACCAACCGATCACCAATTCAGTCACCTTGTAAGACACCTGTGGATACAAAGGGACGAATTTAGCGCAATGTAAGCCTCAGTGTTCCACAGAATCACCAGAAACTACTATTGTACATATATACATTAAATGTACTAATTGTTTTGGTAACTTAACTGAACTGTTTCGCGTTATGAAGCACATAACCGACAGCTCTCTTGTTTCTGCGGTGAGGACGTGTTACGCTCACCTGGTACCTAAGCTGTCAAAGGGAGATAAATCGTGATTGGATGCTTTTGAAGCGCAATAAAATACAGTGAACGAATATGAGTGAGTGAGTTTTGTTTTACGCCGCTTTTAGCACTATTCCAGCAATATCACGGCGGGGGACACCAAAAATGGGCTTCACATATTGTAACCATGTCGAGAATCGAACCCGGGTCTTCGGCGTGACGAGCGAACGCTTTAACCACTAAGCTACCCGACCGCCCTTGTGAACAAATATATACACGTGAAGCCACGAACATTGTATCAGATAGTGTTATTTATGTGTGTTTCAAATAAATAAGTCCTCTGTAATTCTATGTTTGTTGGTCAAAGCCGCGATATTCAAGCTACATGTATGACGGTAAATAATCGAGTATGAACGCGAGAAACCAGTGACTGACATCACGAGCAACATCCCAAGTCGTTGGGTCACGATGACACTGTATCAACCAAGTGACGGTGTCTGACCATTTGGTCGCCTCGTACGACACGCACAGGTTGCTGAGGACTTATTCTAACCCGGAATCCCCACGTGGAGACCTCAATTGGTTGCTTGTTGTTCACCGCCAGTGCGATGAAGACCCACAAAGGCCTTTTCCAAATTTTAATAAAAACCTCTGCTTTAAGCAGAGTCGACTGTAAGATTCCGACTTTATCATGAGCAAGTCTTTATTGAACACCATGAAATTGTGATGATACCAGCCGTTCGATAAAAGGTGAGCGTAGCCTGTCCCACCGGCGGCTACCAGTTAACCCCTTGCCAAAAGCTAGGGTGTAACTCACATGTTGCCCAGGTAACTCCTTACCAGCAGCTAGGGTGTAACTCCTATGTTGCCCAGGTAACCCCTTCCCAGCAGGTTAGGGTGTAACTCACACTTTGCTCAGTTAACCCCTTGCCAGCAGCTAGGGTGTAATTCAAATGTTTCCCAGTTAACCCTTATCAGCAGCTAGGGTATAACTCATATGTTGCCCAGGTAACCCCTTGCCAGCAGCTAGGGTGTAACTCACATGTTGCCCAGTTAACACCTTGCCAGCAGCTAGGGTGTAACAAACATGTTGCACAGTAAACTTCTTGCCAGCAGCTAGGGTGTAACTCACATGTTGCCCAGGTAACCCCTTGCCAGCAGTTGGGGTATAACTCACGTGTTGCCCAGGTAACTCCCTGCCAGCAGCTAAGGTGTAATTCACATGTTGCCCAGGTAACCTCTTGCCAGCAGCTGGGGTGTAACTCACATGTTCCCGAGTTTACCCCTTGCCAGCAGCTAGAGTGTAACTCCTATGTTGACCAGTTAACCCCTTGCCAACAGCTAGGGTGTAACTCACATGTTGCCCAGTTAACTCCTTGCCAGAAGCTATGGTGTAACCCACATGTTGCCCAGGTAACCCCTTGCCAACAGCTAGGGTGTAACTCACATGTTGCACAGTAAACTTCTTGCCAGCAGCTAGGGTGGTGCTCCTATGTTGGCGAGGTAACCCTTTGCCAACAGCTAGGGTGTAACTCACATGTTGCACAGTAAACCTCTTGCCAGCAGCTGGGGTGTAACTCACATGTTGGCCAGGTAACCCCTTGCCAACAGCTAGGGTGTAACTCACATGTTGTCTAATTAACCCCTTGCCAGCAGCTAGGGTGTAACTCACATGTTGCCCAGTTAACTCCTTGCCAGAAGCTATGGTGTAACCCACATGTTGCCCAGTAAACTCCTTGCCAGCAGCTAGGGTGTAACTCACATGTTGCACAATTAACCCCTTGCCAGCAGCTAGGGTGTAACAAACATGTTGCCCAGTTAACTCCTTGCCAGGAGTTGGGGTATAAATCACATGTTGCCCAGGTAACCCCTTATCAGCAGCTAAGGTGTAATTCACATGTTGCCCAGGTAACCCCTTGCCAGTAGCTAGGGTGTAACTCACATGTTGCCCAGTTAACCCCTTACTAGCAGCTTGGGTATAACTCTCACTTTGCCCAGTTAACCCCTTGCCAGCAGCTGGGGTGTAACTCACATGTTGCTAGCGGTTGTAGCCAGACGTTGTAGTACACTCCCACTGATTCTCTCCAACAAGTCGGTGATCTGTCAATGTTCCCAGGTGCTCTCCCTCTTGAGCAGTATCAGGTTTTAGTGTTGTCACCTTTGGGTTAGTTCTTTGTTGTTTTATATCCATTTACCTCTCTTACTCCAGTTTATTACATTTTTTACAAGATGACTGATATGCTGGTTATGAATTATGTTACAACTTGTACTCTTTTTACGAATAAATATGTTTAATGGTTGACATTGTTAATTATATGACAATGTGACTTCATGCTGTCAAGTTAGACTCCAATGTCAGTTAAATGGCTTGTAACCCTCCTTGTTGGTTTCAGCAAATAGCTAAACGTTTAAGACCTGCATCACTTCAAACATCCCCATACGTTAAGCCGTCATGCCCTGATACAACTGGAATACTGTTAAAAGTGGCGTTTAACCAAACTCTCTCCCTAGAATAATCAACCCTTGAAACCTAAACTTTATACACGCCTATATATTACCCAACACGGGTTCGTTCCATAAAGCAGTCTTAACGCAACTCGTAACTCCCATACTTTAACATAGACTTACGACAGTCGTAGCACTAAGATTATTGTAACTCCCATACTTTAACATAAACTTGCGACAGTCGCAGCACTAAGATTATTGTAACTCCCATACTTTAACATAAACTTGTGACAGTCGCAGCACTAAGATGATCGTAAGTCCCATACTTTAACATAAACTTGTGACAGTCGCAGCACTAAGATGATCGTAACTCCCATACTTAAACATAGACTGACGACAGTCGCAGTACTAAGATGATCGTAACTCCAACACCTTAACATAAACTTGCGACAGTCGCAGCACTAAGATGATCGTAACTCCCATACTTTAACATAAACTTACGACAGTCGCAGCACTAAGATGATCGTAGCTCCCATACTTTAACATAGACTTGTGACAGTCGCAGCAATAAGATGATCGTAACTCCCATACTTTAGCATAAACTTACGACAGTCACAGCACTAAGATGATCGTAACTCCCATACTTTAACATAGACTTGTGACAGTCGCAGCACTAAGATGATCCTAACTCCCATACTTTAACATAAACTTGCGACAGTCGCAGCAATACGATCGCTTTCTGGAACGTGGCTCAATTAAATAGGAGGGTACGGGTGGTCCGAGGCTAGTCGTTATGCACAGTTGCGTTCCTTTGTTGACCAATGATCCTCCCACAAGCTGGCACGCCCATGACATAACTGGAATATTGTTCAAAGTGGCATTAAACTCAACACACTCACTCACTGTCCCCAGTGCCTGTATCTACCTCCTAAGATGGAGACTGAGTGGTTACAGTGTTTAACCTGATTGGGTCAGGTTGTGTGGCATGGTTTGTTTTGTCAATGGTTTCCGTGGTCCATACCTCACACACTGACCCTGTTAGCTATTTGCATGTAAGACATGTTCTTAACTAAGATGATGGTAACTCCCATACTTTAACATAGACTTGTGACAGTCGCAGCAATAAGATGATCGTAACTCCCATACTTTAACATAAACTTACGACAGTCGCAGCACTAAGATGATCGTAACTCCCATACTTTAACATACACTTTCGACAGTCGCAGCAATACGATCGCTTTCTGGAACGTGGCTCAATTAAATAGGAGGGTACGGGTGGTCCGAGGCTAGTCGTTATGCCCAGTTGCGTTCCTTTGTTGACCGATGATCCTCCCACAAGCTGACACGCTGTGACATAACTGGAAGATTGTTCAAAGTGGCATTAAACTCAACACACTCACTCACTGTCCCCAGTGCCTGTATCTACCTCCTAAGATGGAGACTGAGTGGTAACAGTGTGTAACCTGATTAGGTCAGGTTGTGTGGCATGTTTTGTTTTGTCAATGGTTTCTGTGGTCCATACCTCACACACTGACCCTGTTAGCTATTTGCATGTAAGACATGTTCCCGAGGCAAGGGCGTTAACTGACTATAAAATTCCAGTTTCCACTGTTGGAAACGATCATGCGGCGTAACACAACACTCACTCACGTGATCATTTCGTTGATTTCAATATCCAAGGGAATTTGAACTTCACATTGCCAGCGTTGTGAGAACCTTAAAGAACGAGTTCAAGTATGTCTCCCAAATGAAGTTACCTCCGGGATGGCAGACGCACTGACTCGCACTGGCCTCTATCCCCTGTGCATGATCTCGACTTAAATTGTGTCTCGCTGAACTTCAGACGGGGAGCAGAGCCCTGTATCGTATACCACATACTTGTTCATTGCGCTCTTTTGATTCTTTATTATGCTTGGTGTTATGGAACGTCCACTGTCATCATCGACGAGCTTTCTGAAAGTCTTTCACGAGTCGCGACATTTCCTGCACTGATTCCAATAACCCTTCTCCATTTGGTGCGCATGCGCCGTGTATGTACCATTTCCGGTCACTGAGGTCCCTAATGTCAAGTTCCTCGACGACTTCCGAGGGTTTAAGGGCACCTACGTACAGACACACAAAGATACATAACAAAAGGAAGATATAACAGGATTTGGAAAATAGGCCTATTTTCAACCATGGTATGAATGGTAAATAAATAGAGACATAATTTCTGTATATGAAGTGTCGAGTTGTGTCCCTTGACTGTATAAAGCCTCCAATCTGGCTTCCTTTATGCGCAGACGGTCTGCGCTGTCCACCACGTAGATCAGACCTCGGGGTTATTTAAGAATTGACTTCATGTTTTGCCTTTATGGAAAAATAAACGTAAAAGTCGGTTAACAGAATGTGTGAATACGCATAGTCAACAACAATAATATCTTCACAGACTGCTTGCTTAATCATTAACACAAACACACTGTGGATAACAACATGAAACCAGTGATATCGTGTAGCGTAATTATACACATACCCCTCCCATTCTATTATCAGCCAATCAGAAACAGTAGTCCATTAGTGGGCCTTAGCGGCCTTTTTTCGACTTCAGTTTGGTCGGCAATAACCACAGACAAGGTGACCCGTGAAGATCCGGGATAGAATATGTCTTCAGAAACCATGGTTGCCGTAAAAGGCGACTATGCTTGTCGTAGGAGGCGACTTACGGGATCGGGTGGTCAGGCTTGCCGACTTGATGCATGTCATCGTATCCCAATTGCGTAGGTCAATGCTCATGGTGTCAATCATTGGATTGGCTGGTCCAGACGCGATTATTTACAGACCACTGTCATATAGCGGGAATATTGCTGAGTGAAACAACAACAAAACAAAACAGACAAGGTGCACTGCGAATCTAGGTTTATGCCCTCTGAAGTGTGTGGCTCCCCGTGTGAAGTTCTTATATTACACCTACCTTGTGTGTTCAGGTAGTAGTGTTTCCACAGCTGTCTGATCTTCTCCTGGCCCCCAACGTCCCACACCGTGAACGTCACGCCCTTCACCGGACTGACCGTCTCCACGTTGAAGCCGATGGTGGGGATGGTGCACACGCTCTCGTTCAGCTTCAGCTTGTACAGGATGGTCGTCTTACCTGGGACAACACCACTATATTACCGAGACGGATAACGTTTGTAATGCCACGAATCCACCCACTGATCATGCTCGCTGCGCTACATTATATTCAACCTGCACTCTGGTCAATAATATTATGGGTGACAAATGGTTTAAAGTCGCGTCCAAGATTTTTGCACGTATATAGTGACGTGCATGCACGTGTGTGTGGCTGCTTGTACTAGTCCGGACTGATGCCGACTTTATAGTGCTAGCACACTGAGATACCATGCCGCAGTTTAAAATGTATATCCCACTCAGACACAGAAAACGTACCCCGAGCAGACCAGTCCTTGTTTTAGCCCCTTAATGCCGAGCGCCAGACAGAGTAACAACAAGTACCATCTTTTAACGTCTTTTGGTATGACGCGGCATGGGATCGAACCCCAGACCTTCCTCTCTCCGGGCGGACGCTCCAGCACTAGACCACGGAGGTGGTCCATATTATTACTAACCTAGCACAACAATATCATACCATCATACCATAACAAATATATACGCTTGGTTCGAATTCCGATGAGGATTCTATTGACTTAAAGTTTCAGCGATATACCAAGTTAACGAGGTGTCGTACATTGTACATCTTCTGTTGGTCTAAAACACCGGCCCTACCTATAGCATGGTTTATTTACGAGAGTTCGAGTGAGTGAGTATGGTTTTACTCCGCTTTTAGCAATATTCCAGCAATATCACGGCGGGGGACACCAGGAATGGGCTTCATACATTGTATCCATTTCGGGAATCGAACACGGGTCTTCGACGAGCGAACGCTTTAACCTCTAGGCTACCTGTCCGACCGACTTCGAAGTTATGATTGAACAGATGAAATGTTAAGCCCTGTTGATAAGTGGATTGATGCAAGCTTAATAACTTCACGACAAAAGGTATTTAAAGTTGAATACCCCACCCTCCCAATAATACAAAAGTCTTAAAGAACACCATTTTCAATCAGAAAAAAGAATACTTAAACATGTTATATCCCCCTCCATCGTGTAGATCCGGGTTACAATTGATCTTCAGCAAGCAATGCTTGTCGTAAAAGTCGGCTAACGGGATCGGGTGGTGGTCAGTTTCGATTGTTTACAAATCGCCGTCTTATAGTTATATTGCTGAGTGCGCCGTTAAACGAACAAACAAACAAACAAAACGTACACCCCCGAGGTCTCCCCATGCCTACCTGCTGCATCCAGTCCCAGCATCAGGATCCGAGCTGGTTCCGATGAAAACTCACTGTAGATCTGCATAAGCCGCGATAGTAACAAACCCATAGCGATATCACCATATATCACCTAAACACGATGAATGTTCCTTGAAATGTGTCCTGTTCTTTAGAAACAGTGTAAGTGAATAACAAAGAGTTGTATCAAAATTATCCTTTCCCACTCTGAATTATCGCCATCTATTATCCCAAACGTTCTCTGTCTGACGCACGTAGTCAACGCACAATAACGTGATCTAATTGCTTACTACTGTAAAGATATGTTGTGTATACATTACAGTATACAGACAGACAGTTTAGTCGTATATGTGGCCAAAAGACCAACAGTACATCATGTTTACATTAAGGCGCAATAAATGTTACAATGAGCACACCTTATTAATATAAGCTGAACAAGTAACGAAAGACATTTGTTCACAAACGGACTGTTCTCTTGTGATATATGATACAATAATAGAGATCGCTTAGATAATAGACTATCGTCATCAGTCTGCACTAGTATCAGAAACCCTTCAAACGAAGGCCTGATTACAAAATACTGGGGTAAATATTTCATGTTACTGTAATGTGGGCAAATCATCAACACATGAAATTCATCTTCTGTAGGCCAGGAGTATCTTCTGTTTCAGGAGTTTTGGAAAATCACAGTTATACATATTCGATATCTTTAGTCATCTACCGTCTTAAATATGTATGCGTCTATCTATGTGTGTGTGTGTTTGTGTGTGTGTGCGTGCGTGCGAGCATGCGTGCGTGCGTACGTGCGTGTGTGTGTTTGTGTTAAAACTTAACGTCCCATCGGCATAATTTCAGCCAAATAGCGACGAGAACAAGTTGATACGTACACAATTGAGTCACGAAGTTATTCTTAAAAACAAATTTGTCAAACATATTTCGGCAGAACAATAGTCTACCAATGGTAAATATAGCTTATCCCGTTAATACATGTTGCTCCATATAATTGTATCGTACATCACGGATTCCTTTGCAATGTATTTATTGTTCCATATTTTAAAACACCGTTTTGAGGTTGTACAGAGGTGGTGCAAGAGGACACTCATGCAGTATCAACCAACACTCATGCATTAGCAACCATCACTAATGCATTAGCAACTCACACTGTTGTATTATCAACACACACTAACGCATTACCAACTAACACTAATGCATTGGCAACCCACACTAACGCATTACCCACTAACACTAATGCATTGGCAACCCACACTATTGTATTATCAACCCAAACTAATACATTAACAACCCATACTAATGCATTACCAGCCCATACTAATGCATTACCAGCCAATACTAATGCATCAGCAACCCGCACTAATGCATTACCAGCCAACACTTATGCATTACCAGCCAACACTAATGCATTAGCATCCCATCCCAGCGAAATCGAACCCACAATCGTAGGTTTCCTGCATGCTCAAGGGACGCAACTCTGCACAGCGAATCGCGGCGCCTTAGACAACTGGGCCACCCGCCCACTCTTTGGGTTAATAGGTCCCTCTGATTCACTGCACTGCTACACTGTGCCATGATTTCAGAAACGTCAACACAATCCCACTTGTGGTCGAATCCCATTTCTTTGTTACACACATTCATTCGTCATCACTCGCCCCTTTCCGTAAACAGCTTGTCCCGGAATGACACGAGCTGGTCACGAATGAATCACTTCCTGCTTCTCAATTTCCCTCAACACCAGGTAAGTGTGTGTTGTCACAAGGCCTGTGTCTACTTCACTTATAACGCTACACACCTGTCCTACTGTGTACTGGTAACACCACAAGGGTTCATCTAACTATACAGTCATCTCCAGGCAGATTCTCATGACCGGGCACCTAAGTAAATGTAACATGTAGGCTAACGGGAATATTTCAAAGATCTACTTTCACTGTTGCCTTCGATCGGACACTTGACTTCGATACTGAGACCGATCCCGATGTATGTGTATGTGTATATCACGTGTGTCTGTTACAGTTATTACTGACATGATCCCTGACAAATGCTGCAGTAAACAATATGGGGAAATACTTCTACATAACTATATTATTTCACATCTGATAGAGTCCGACATTAACGTTTTCTACTTTCGATATGGTAATGAGTGGGTGTCACCCTACAACTATGTCACGTGATCGATACACTGCACACACTTCATGTTGTAAAGCTAGCGGGTGACCTCAGTTGAAAAGCACCATTCACTATCTCCTCACTGACATGCCACAGTTCCAGGGTATATACAGACAGGAGAATTGGGAGCTATAAAATACCTGTGTATGTCTCCTTTAGGACCGCCGAGAGATGAGAAATACACATTCACACACACACACGCACGCACGCACGCACGCACACATTCAGGCACGCACGCATGCATGCACGCACACAAATACAGTCGGCCTTAGTGTAAAGCAGAATGTTAGTTGATATGTCATAAGATCAGCATACAACTGAGATAATGTTGTTGTTTTTACGAAACGGGATATTTGTTAATTGTTTCAAGATCTGGATGATCCAGGCGGTGAATGGGAGGATAGAAAATATCCTTCCTTAGTTGCCACAACTACAGTCAGTCTTAGTGTTCCATGTCAAAGGACAGGAAGCTCGGGTTGTGGCTAGAATTTGTCTTTTGTGAACACCGGAAATAAAAGGGCTGGTTTTGTCTTTTTCTAGGTAAGATGGCGACCTCCCAGAAGTTAACAGAACACTTCCTGACATGCACGATATGTACAGAAGTGTTTGACAAGCCCTGTACACTTGTATGTAATCACACCTTCTGTCGGAAATGTTTGGTCAACTACACCAAAACCAGACCAGAAGCCATCAGTGCCAAGTCTCTCCTGTGTCCATTCTGCAGCAAGATGACGAAAGTGTCTGCCCCTGAGAGACCAGTGGAGGAGTGGGCGGATGACGTCAAGCCTATCTTTGTCATCCAGGGACTCTTGGACTCGTTTGGCCCCGGATCAAAAGGTGGGAGATTGGGATTTATACGTACATTAGTGTGGTTCCTAGGTCTGAGTGAGTACGTATGGTATACGAACTTTTCAGCAATATATCCGCAATTTTACGGCGGCAACATCGGGAATGGGCTTCACACATTGTCCCCATGTTGGGAATCATCGTGGCGAGCGAACGCTTTAACCACTAGGCTACCGCTCCGCCCCGGAAGGTACCCCTACATTTCATTTGAATGTTGAATTTAGGTATGTTTAAGGATTCCAAGCTGTATGGAAAGTCATCTATAAAGTTGTTTGTAGGGTTTGTGTATATCATGAAATCATATCGTATACAGGTACAGTTTTAAAATGTGGCAACGATCCTCCTAACACGTTGATACAGATGACATGACGTGCGGTCGACGACTTTTACGTTTGAAGCCGGTTTGGGCGTGCTGATAGGAACGTATGTGAAATTGAGAAGAAAGTTTTCTGTCATCTGTGAATTTTCTAAACCCGTTGATGGTGTTGTTTGAAAGGTCTGCATACAAAATGAAATCCTATTGTGAACATGTGCTTAATAAGTAACCGATGTGGTGTTAAGCCTATCTCAGACACAAACGTCCTCTTTTCTACGATCTATGTGGTTAAATAAACCAGTTCAACGAATCCAGTGTTATTTACATAATATTTCACGTCAGCACTTATTGAAATGCTTGTGATGCGTATTATCTCACCCACATCAGTTCATGATGAGCCACACAAGTTTCTATATGGAACATAATTGCACGTGTTTCTTTTGGTTTTGGTTTGAGAAAGTTACATGGGATCAGTAATAGTTGGAAAGATGTAAACAAACATCTAAAAGAAACATTCTTGTCTCACAAATGTATAAGGGGCGGTCGGGTAGCCTAGTGGTTAGACCGGGTTCGATTCCAGACATAGGTACGATGTGTGAAGCCCATTTCTGGTGTCCCCCACCGTGATATTGCTGGAAATTATTACACTATTAAATTATTACACTAAACATCTATATGTTATTCAGACACAATCATAAGAGGAGATCACGCTCTGTCCTAGACTGGTTCACCTAATCCAGAGCGCTTGCGCTCTTCGCCTACAGCCCCTAGGAGTCGAAGGGCAAGGTCTGGCTCAATTACATACAGTTGACCTATTTCCGTGAAGCGGGTCTGGCTGTCGAGAGGATCGAGGACAGGCCTACAGCGGGAAACGTTGACACAGTTTCAGTGTAGCGAGGTATTTGCTCTTTTGTACAGAGTGTATAATTTACATTACAAGCTACAGGAGTAAACATATCAGCATAAGGGAGGTAACTCTCACAGAGAAGCTTGGTTCATTGTTAAAAAAAACAACACACTCACAACAATTTTCACAATATCTGCATGTCTCCACTGATCGCCTTCATTATGAAATAAAAAAATGTAGCTGTTACTTTGAAATAATTTTTTATCAATGTCAACAGTGCCTTGTATACTGCTATGAATGTGTCAACTTAATGTCCCCAATACTAGTTTTTTAACATACATTGTTTGTTTTCTACTTTTATGTTACATAAATATTTAGACTGAAATGTGATCGCATTCATATTCCTGATTCTGGAGGACCACATCTGGGTTACACATGTGCGCTTTATGACAGTGTAGGTGCTGCATCAGTAAGTAGTTATGCCACAACATTTCATTGCCCCGTGTTGATACTCTGGTTCAAAGTCATCTTGTTATTTCAGATACCACTCACTGCAGTTATTGCAAGGAGGAAGGGGAGACAACTCCAGCTACATCTTGGTGCTCTGTTTGTGACGACGCACTCTGTGAACTATGTATTCGAGTACACAGACGAATTCCATCTTCCCGTCATCATGACGTAGTTGACCTGTCTGGAGAGACAAAGGTTAGGGTCAAGAGAAAGGTCATGTGTAAAATTCACAAAGATGAAAATATCAAATATATTTGTAAAGATTGTGAAACAGCTGTTTGTCAGACATGCTGCACTATCCATCACAGGAAATGTGACTTGGTTGTTGAAATTGAGTCTGAGATTCCTGCAATGAAAACCGAGCTGAGAAGGAATAAAGAGGATTTGTTGAAGAAACACGACGAGATGAAAGCACATGTTAGAAAACAAACCTCCAAAGTCGACGAAGCATTAACGCATTACTTACAAATAGAATCGAATATCAAGTCTGCAGGTCTCAAAGCAATAGAGGCTATCAAAGTCAAGGAATGGAAACTTTTGGCTAAACTAAAAGAAATGTCTGGCAGACACATTGGAGAACTGAAGGCAGACATAAAGTCAGGTGAGATGTCAGTACAGATGTACCAACAACAGGCTGAGCTGATAGACCAGACTCTACAATCTGAGTGTGACATGGGTGTGTATGAGATGTATCAGGGATGTGAGGCCGGTGATGTTGAGGCTGTCGGAGTCGCAGACGTGAAAGAGAAGAGAAGAATAGCCAGGATCATGTTCAGACAGGACACGGACAAGCTGAGTAGAGCACTGGACGATCTACAGTTGGGTGAGATAGACGTCCTGTATGAGGATGTGCTGGACCTGAAGGCTACTCATGTGTTACAGGACACCATTAACGTCAGAGTAGCAGGGGATACACAGGGGGCATGCCCCACTGACATGACGGTGTTAGTGGTGAATGGTACAGACACAGTGGTAGTCACAGACTATAGCAACAAGAGTGTGAAGTCCTTCTACACCAGGAACAAGCAGCACGGTCACAGCAGGCTCCGTGTAGGTGGTGCCCCGTTTGGTATAACAAAGTTGAAGAACAACCAGGTGGCTGTCACTATGCCGGTTTCCAGTCGGATTGTAACAATACAAGTCAACCCTGACCTGGTGCTGCTGTCAACCATCACAACCAGCAAAAAGTACCAGGGTATAACGTCTCTGACACCATCAACACTAGCAGCAAGTTCCTACTACCCTCCCAGTGTTGATATCCTGGATATGACGGGACACGTGCTGAAGTCAATTTGTCTAGGCCAACCTAGTAGATGCATCTTGAAGTATCCCTACTGCCTCTGTACCACGAGGACAGGAAACATCCTGGTGTCTGACCGGGGATCCAGGTGTGTCGTGTGTCTGACTCCCAAGGGAGATGTGGTGTTCAACTACAGCACTACAGGAAACACATCACTGGAGTTTCCATGTGGTATCACAAGTACCAGCACAGGCGACATCCTGGTGACAGACAACTCTCTACACAGAGTCCTCCATCTGACTGAGTCAGGACAGTTTGTTAGAAACATGCTGACATCACAAGATGGTGTCCAGAATCCAAGTGGAGTGTGTGTTGGTGGGCGTGGTCGTATGTACGTGTGTATGTCAGATATAGTGAAGGTATTTACATTGAAGTGAGTGAACATGTCACAATCCTCCTTTCAATCAACTATAGTCACGTGTGAGTTGAGGATGTATGTGTTTTGATATGTGTCATTGTGTGTTAACCAGCTGTAAGCACATTTCACTGTGTTTGAGTAAAATCACATTATATATTAATGTTTAATCACTCATCTGAGCTTTGCCATTTGAATGTGATGAATGAAGGTATGTAAGTGTACACATTTTATATGCAATCGCAGTAGCAAGGCACAGCTGTTCACGTACCGCTTTAATTGTTCACATCTCATCTGAACATGTTTCCTATTTTATATATTACCAACTTCGAGTGTAAGTAGCTTTGATGAAAGATCCTTACATCAAATATCAGATCCTCCACATGATGTGTTTTTCTTTTGTGCCACCACTATGACAGCATAACGGAGCTTTTCCTTCTGTGTTATAACTAGAGGTGTCGTGAGCTGAGTCGGTGTAGGATGGATATTTACATGACAGTAATCCTTGCTTGCTATGTTGAGGACAATAAGCAGTACTGTTTTGTTGCATGGGGCGCCGTGACATCCAGACTTCCTTGATATGCGGAAAAAGACAAAATAACAACACTGTCTTGTTACAGACTTACAGACATTCTTCCGACCACATAGATCCGGGCGACAGTTGCACTGCTGTGTCACGGTAACCTGCAAAGGAGACCCGCGAGAGCCTGGCGTTCTGAATTCTAAGTTCGACAGGCTGTTCATGTGACATGCGGTACGAAAACCGCCAAACCAGTCACAGTGAAAAGCCCGTATTAAGCAGCCGTTGTGAGCAACCGATCACCAATTTAGTCACCTTGTATGACACCTGTAGATATAAAGTTCGCATTTATCGCAATGTAAGCCTCAGTGTTCCACAGAATCACCTGAAACTACTATTGTACATATATACATTAAATGTACTAATTGTTTTGGTAACTTTACTGAACTGTTTCGTGTTATGAAGCACAGAACCGACAGCTCTCTCGTTTCTGCGGTGAGGACTTGTTACATTCACTTGGTAACTGAGCGGTCAAAGGGAGATAAATCGTGAGTGGATGTTTTTTGAAGCGCAATAAAATACAATGAACGAATATGAGTGAGTGAGTGAGTGAGTATTGTTTTAGGCCGCTTTAAGCAATATTCCAGCAATATCACGGCGGAGGACACCAGAAATGGGCTTCACACATTGTACCCATGTCGGGAATCGAGCCCGGGTCTTCGGCGCGACGAGCAAACGCTTTAACCACTAGGGAACCCGACCGCCCCTGTGAACGAATATACACGTGAAGCCAGGAACATTTGATCAGAGTGTGCTGTTTATGTGTGTTGCAAATAAATAACTCCTCTGTAATTCTATGTTTGTTGGTCAACACCGCGATATTCAAGCTACATGTATGACGGTAAATAATCGAGTATGGACGCGAGAAACCAGTGACTGGCATCACGAACAACATCGCAAGTCGTTGGGTCACGATGACACTGTATCAACCAGGTGACGGAGTCTGACCATTTGGTCGCCTCGTATGACACGCACAGGTTGCTGAGGACCTATTCTAACCTGGAGTCCCCACGGGGACCTTCACTGGTTGCTTGTTGTTCACCACCAGTTCGATAAAGACGCACAAAGGCCTTTTCCATATTCATGGGAAATCTCTGCTTGAAGCTGGTGGCTTCCATTACCAGAAAGTCAGTTGTTCACCTGAATAGACACTGAAACATGTGGTTCAAGTCGAAACAGGGAATTACATCTGACATCAGTTTCACCATGTTAGTTTTGCCGACGTGGGCAACCTGAACATACTATACAATCAATAGGAGCAAGTGAACTATTCTAGAGCCGAGGGGGCTGTTTTCCACCCGTGTACCGTTGTTTTGTACGCAGGGTACATGCAACAAGATGTTCACGATGTTCTCTGATTTCTATGTATACCTTTCCTGTACCCCGCATACATAAAATTGTACCTGTTTTTTACAAAGAATACTTTGTCAAACCCTGCGTAACAGTAGCACCAGAATCCTGTATTCCCCCTGTTGTTATTGTGGGAATCCTACAGGATACAACTAGTAAATTCACCTGTCCATGTCAGACAGTCTCTGTTCAGTATGTTCATGTCAACAGCAGAGAGAAACTTACAGCCGTAAACATGATAAAATTAAGCAACTTAGTTTAGACGGCAATGCAGCGTAGATATGCGATAGAATCCACATTTATACCCAACAAATAACATACTTATTTGAAATATTTTTTTATAGATTTGTCAGTGCCGTGGTTTCCCCAAAAAGGTAAACGTCCGAGACCTGCAACACTTCGGGCTTTCCCCCAATATTAGGGTGGCGCGCCAGGATATAACTGGACCACTGTTGAAAGCAGCGTTATACCTAACTCATTCACCCAAAAACAGACTAACACAACACATATTACTATGTATGTCTGAATATGGACTGATTATGCTCAACAGGATATAATGGAATAAAAGTTTCCAAACATAAAACATGATGGAAACAACTTACTGCACACAAGTTAATCTACCATGTGCCATTCGGCTAGCAACAAGGGTGCTTTATAAAAATGATGGGATATTGAAATATTCACGAATTCACCCACCCTAATACATTACCACCATCCACTAACACATTACCAACTCACACTAATACATTACCACCAGCCCACTAATACATAACCACCACCCACTAATACATTACCAACTCACACTAATACATTACCAACTCACACTAATACATTACCACCCCCCACTAATACATTACCAACCCACACTAATACATTACCTACTCACACTAATACATTACCAACTCACACTAATACATTACCACCCACCACTAATACATTACCATCATCCACTAACACATTACCAACTCACACTAATAAATTACCACCAGCCCACTAATACATAACCACCACCCACTAATACATTACCAACTCACACTAATACATTACCAACTCACAGTAGTACATTACCAACCCACACTACTATATTACCTACTCTCACTAATACATTACCAACTCACAGTAATACATTACCACCCACCACTAATACATTACCACCACCCACTAATACATTACCACCACCCACTAATACATTACCACCACCCACTAATACATAACCACCACCCACTAATACATTACCAACTCACACTAATACATTACCACCCCCCACTAATACATTACCACCCCCATCCACTAACACATTACCAACTCACACTAATACATTACGACCAGCCCACTAATACATAACCACCACCCACTAATACATTACCAACCCACACTAATACATTACCAACTCACAGTAGTACATTACCAACCCACACGAATACATTACCTACTCTCACTAATACATTACCACCACCCACTAATACATTACCAACTCACACTAATACATTACCACCCACCACTTATACATTACCACCACCCACTAATACATAACCACCCCCCACTAATACATTACCTACTCACACTAATACATTACCACCCCCAACTTATACATAACCACCTCCCACTTATACATTACCAACTCACACTAATATATTACCAACTCACACTAATACATAACCACCCCCCACTAATACATTATCAACTCACACTAATACATTACCAACTCGGCGGGCTCGGATGTCCCTATCGTTTAAGGCGCTGCGATTCGCTGTGCAGAGTTGCGTCCCTTGGGCACGCCAGAAACCTATCATTGTGGGTTCGAATACCGGTTCACCCCAATTATGTTTCTAGGTTTGCCAGCACCATACCAATGCTCGTGAGTTTCACCGGAGTGGTAAACGTCTGAGACCTCCATCACTTGGGGCTTCCCTCCCACATTAAGCTGACACGCTGTGATATAACTTGAATACTTTTAAAAGCAGCGTTAAACCCAACTCACTCACTCAATATCTCTGAAAATTGCTGTTTGTTGGTTGCACATTAGTCCATTGTTATTCTCCAACATTATTCTCTCCCGTTTGCCTCACGGGTCTCGGTTATCCCCGCCTATCATTATGTAAACCTCTGCAAGTAACATCACGTTGTGTGGTATTGTTTACATGTTTTATAACTTTTTGGACATGAGGGTATTTTTATAAACAGGTAGGTATCTGTCCCTCATTCTGTTATATCAAACATATGGGGGAAGCTTCCAGTGAAGGGGCCACCAGGTCGTATTGACAAGAGTGGATTCATCATCTGCAATGTCATCCTAACAAGAAAATGATTTGAATAGCTTTAAAACGGCCGATGTAGTACCTCAAATTAATCATTCAGTTAATGATATCTCCTAATCGGTGATAGACCACGTGGTCCCTTTGCTGGTAACCTTCCCATTTGGTAGTTGAGGTAAATACACCCAGCTTACATCATCTCTCTTCTTACTTACACAAACATAACAAAAATATACTGCCTGGTGGGCACTCGAGGGCAGAATACGAGTAGATTTAGTGTCGATATATATAGCAAGAGCTGGATGTACCAAAAAATAATGTGATATGGGTAAAGAAATTGTTTAGCACTTAAATACAGTTTATGTTTCGAATGCTTACTGAAAAATACTCTGTCAAACAAAAAACAACATCAACAACAGCAAAAAATCAACAACCCTCCCACCCCCCCCCCAAAAAAATAAAAATAAATAATAATAATAATGATAATAATAAAATAATAATAATATAATAACTAACTAACTAACTAACTAACTAACTAACTAACTAACTAACTAAATAACTAAATAAATAAATAAATAAAAAATCGAAATATTTATATGAAAATAATCAGACATTTTATCGAATCATCTTCCCGATACACTTAATATAAAAAGTCCAGTTTCCACCCATGCCGAATTATTCCTGACCAACTCGTTCTTCCGTGACACAGAAACAAAGAAACAAACAAACAAACAATAAATAAATAAATAAATAAATAAATAAATAAATAAATAAATAAATAAATAAAAAACAAAACAAAATCGAAATATTTATATGAAAATAATCAGACATTTTATCGAATCATCTTCCCGAGAAAAGTCCAGTTTCTACCCATGCCGAATCATTCGTGACCAACTCGTTCTTCCGGGACAAGCCGAATAGAGACTCGTGGCCCTCTCGTGGCCTTTTTTGCGACTGTGTTCTGTCTGAGCGGAAACGGGCATAGCTAAATAAGATTGGTCAACTCGTTTTGTAATTCTTGATATTTGCCCAATATATTATTTATATTCTAGTTGCTATTGAAAACCTACCCGGACTTACAATATTATACAGTATGATTAAACACATTTAACTGTGACTTTGGCATATTTTTAGATGCAAGACATATGTGAAATCGTGAAGTCATACACGCATTCTGATTGGTTTGTTGTATTTTCGCACTTAACATTCTTGCAGGTTACGGAAAGGGGCGAGTGTTGACGAATGATGCCGAACTAGACTGGAAGTTTGTGGCTCGATCGTAGCGCCATCAGTGGCTATAACGATTTATGTCCCTTCTATGTCCCTCCTACTGATCAGATAGGTTCCAACTCTCATAAATACTTGCATTTGTTTAATAAGAAATTGAGTGCCCCGTCAAGGCGAGCGATAATCAAAATCTATAAGAAGGAAGTTGAGGTGAGGTGAAATGGGGTTTAACGTCGCGTCCAAGATTATTGCACTTATATAGCGATGTGCAGGTACATGTGTGTGTTTGTGTTGCTGCTTGTACTAGTCCGGACTGATGCCGATTTAAAGTGCTAGCTCACTGAGATACGATGCCGCAGTTTAACATGAATACCCCACTCAGACACAGTCTACTGACTCCGAGCCGCCCGAGCCGAGATGAAACAGAGAGGGGTTCCTGTGTTTTACTTAGCTAAAGACAAACAATGTCAACGTGGAGTGGAAAATAATTATATTATTCCAATTTCATCCAAACATTTGATCATGTATAACAATTACATGTTCAAGTGCAAAATATCAAAACATATACATACAGCAAAGACGTTTATACACTTACTACAAATATAAACATTGCTACGTGTTAAAATACATAAACACTCAACAAACATCAACAGGAATGTTAGAATCATATGAGTATTTACACGATGAATTATATACAAAACCGTACATAAATACAAGTGAAAGACTGATAACGCCATTGATCCAGAGTCATCACGTGACAACAGGACTAGGTTCGGTAATCACGAGGATAGACTGGGTTTGAGACCGAATCAGTAAAATGGTGTGGATCTTTTTGGTTCTGGCGGCATAGGGGCCTCCTTCTGGCTTTCGGGGACTTCCTCAACCTCAACGCAACATGACAGGCCTTGTTAATGTCGTATAACTGCATGTCAACTGTCATGTCATACACTGCTCATAGTT